GATATCCCCCCTTTTTTCCCCCATTGATCCCCTCCACCCCGCAACCACCCCACCCCCAGGCCTTCCCCATACCAATGTCTGTGTCTATAGGTTATACATATAAGCACATAAGTTTTTTAATTAATCTCACCCTCCCCCGCCCCCAGCCTTCCCCCTGAGATCCCTCAGTCTGTTCTATGCATCTGTGTCTCTGGATCTTTTTTGTTCATCAGTTTATTTTGTTCATTATATTCCATATATAAGTGAGATCATGTGATACTTGTCTTTCTCTGACTGGCTTATTTCACTCAGCATAATAATCTACAGGACCATCCATGCTGTTGCAAAGGGTATGAGATCCTTCTTCTTTACAGCTGCATAGTATTCCATGGTGTAAATGTCCCACAGCTTTTTTATCCACTCATCTCCTGATGGGCACTTGGGCTGTTTCCAGATCTTAGCTATTGTAAATTGCGCTGCTATGAACATAGGGGTGTATATGTTCTTTCTGATTGGTGTTTTGGGTTTCTTAGGATATATTCCTAGAAGTGGGATCACTGGGTCAAATAGCAGTTCCATATAAATTTTTTGAGGAACCTCCATACACTTTTCCATAGTAGCTGCACCCGTCTGCATTCCCACCAGCAGTGCACTAGGGTTCCCCTTTCCCCACACCCTCGCCAGCACATGTCATTTGTTGATTTGTTGATGGAGCCATTCTGACAGGTGTGAGGTGAGACCTCATTGTGGTTTTAATCTGCATCTCTCTGATGATTAGTGACTTGAGAACATTTTCTCATGTGTCTCTTGGCCATCCGTATGTCCTGTTTGGAGAAGTGTCTATTCAGGTCCTTTGCCCATTTTTTCATTGGATTGTCTGTCTCCCTTTTGTTAAGTTGTATGAGTTCCTTATATATTTTGGATATTAACCCTTTATCAGATGTGTTGTTAGCAAATATGTTCTCCCATACAGTGGGCTCCCTCTTTGTTTTGTTGATGGTTTCTTTTGCTGTGCAGAAGCTTTTAGTTTTGATGTAGTCCCATTTGTTTATTTTCTCCTCTGTTTCTCTTGCCCTGGGAGATGTATCAGCAAACACATTGCTACGAGAGATGTCTGAGATTTTGCTGCCTATGTTTTCTTCTAGGACTTTTATGGTTTCACGTCTTACATTTAAGTCTTTTATCCATTTTGAGTTTATTTTTGTGTATGGTGTAAGTTGGTGGTCTAGTTTCATTTTTTTGCATGTACCTGTCCAATTTTGCCAGCACCACTTATTGAAGAGACTGTCCTTACTCCATTGTATGCTCTTACCGCCTTTGTCAAATATTGAGTATAATTCCTTGGGTCTATTTCTGGGTTCTCTGTTCTGTCCACTGATCTATATGTCTGTTCTTGTGCCAGTACCAGGCTGTTTTGATTACAGNCTGATGATTAGTGACTTGAGAACATTTTCTCATGTGTCTCTTGGCCATCCGTATGTCCTGTTTGGAGAAGTGTCTATTCAGGTCCTTTGCCCATTTTTTCATTGGATTGTCTGTCTCCCTTTTGTTAAGTTGTATGAGTTCCTTATATATTTTGGATATTAACCCTTTATCAGATGTGTTGTTAGCAAATATGTTCTCCCATACAGTGGGCTCCCTCTTTGTTTTGTTGATGGTTTCTTTTGCTGTGCAGAAGCTTTTAGTTTTGATGTAGTCCCATTTGTTTATTTTCTCCTCTGTTTCTCTTGCCCTGGGAGATGTATCAGCAAACACATTGCTACGAGAGATGTCTGAGATTTTGCTGCCTATGTTTTCTTCTAGGACTTTTATGGTTTCACGTCTTACATTTAAGTCTTTTATCCATTTTGAGTTTATTTTTGTGTATGGTGTAAGTTGGTGGTCTAGTTTCATTTTTTTGCATGTACCTGTCCAATTTTGCCAGCACCACTTATTGAAGAGACTGTCCTTACTCCATTGTATGCTCTTACCGCCTTTGTCAAATATTGAGTATAATTCCTTGGGTCTATTTCTGGGTTCTCTGTTCTGTCCACTGATCTATATGTCTGTTCTTGTGCCAGTACCAGGCTGTTTTGATTACAGCGACTTTGTAGTATAACTTGATATCGGGTGTTGTGATCCCTCCAACTTTGATCTTTTTTCTCAAGATGGCTGCAGCTCTTCAGGGTCGTTTTTGGTTCTATATGAATTTTTGAAGTGTTTGTTCTAGATCTGTGAAATATGCTGTTGGTATTTTATTTATTTATTTATTTATTTATTTTTATTATTATTTTAAAATATATCTTTATTGATTTCAGAGAGAGGAAANAGTTTTGATGTAGTCCCATTTGTTTATTTTCTCCTCTGTTTCTCTTGCCCTGGGAGATGTATCAGCAAACACATTGCTACGAGAGATGTCTGAGATTTTGCTGCCTATGTTTTCTTCTAGGACTTTTATGGTTTCACGTCTTACATTTAAGTCTTTTATCCATTTTGAGTTTATTTTTGTGTATGGTGTAAGTTGGTGGTCTAGTTTCATTTTTTTGCATGTACCTGTCCAATTTTGCCAGCACCACTTATTGAAGAGACTGTCCTTACTCCATTGTATGCTCTTACCGCCTTTGTCAAATATTGAGTATAATTCCTTGGGTCTATTTCTGGGTTCTCTGTTCTGTCCACTGATCTATATGTCTGTTCTTGTGCCAGTACCAGGCTGTTTTGATTACAGCGACTTTGTAGTATAACTTGATATCGGGTGTTGTGATCCCTCCAACTTTGATCTTTTTTCTCAAGATGGCTGCAGCTCTTCAGGGTCGTTTTTGGTTCTATATGAATTTTTGAAGTGTTTGTTCTAGATCTGTGAAATATGCTGTTGGTATTTTATTTATTTATTTATTTATTTATTTTTATTATTATTTTAAAATATATCTTTATTGATTTCAGAGAGAGGAAAGGAGAGAAAGAGAGAGAGATAGAAACATCAATGATGAGAGAGTCATTGATCAGCTGCCTCCTGCATGCCCCCTACTGGGGATCGAACCCGAAACCTGGGCATGTGCCCTGACCAGGAATCGAACCCCAATCGCCTGGATCCTAGGTCAATGCTCAACCGCTGAGCCACACCTGGCTGGGCGCTGTTGGTATTTTAATAGGGATTGCATTGAACTTACAGATTGGTTTGGGTAGTATGGACATTTTAATGATGTTAATTCTTCCAATCCATAGACACGGTTTATTCTTCCACTTGTTTATATCTTCCTCTATCTCTTTTTGCAGTGTCCGGTAGTTTTCTGAGTATAGGTCTTATACCTCCTTGGTTAAGATTATTCCTCAGTATCTTAGTTGTTTTTTTTGTTGCAGTGGTAAATGGGATTTTTTTTAGTTTCTCTTTATGAGAGTACATTATTGGTGTATAAAAATGCCATCGATTTCTATGTGTTAATTTTGTGTACTGCTACCTTGCTGAATTCATTTATTAAATCTAGTAGTTTTTTGCTGAAGTCTTTAAGATTTTCTATGTACAACATCATATCATATGCAAATAATGAGTTTTACTTCCTCCTTTCCAAGTTGGATGCCTTTTATGTTTTCTTCTTGTCTGATTGCTGTGGCAGGACTTCCAGTAAGTACTATGTTGAATAAGAGTGGGAGAGTGGACATCCCTGTCTTGTTCCTGTTCTTAGGGGAAATGCTTTTAGTTTTTGCCCATTGATTATGATGTTGGCTGTAAGTCTGTTATATATGGCCTTTATTATGTTGAGGTATGATCCCTCTATTCCCACTTTGCTGAGAGTTTTTATCAGAAATGGGTGTTGGATTTTGTCGAATGCATTTTCTGTGTCTATTGATATGATCATGTGATTTTTGTCTTTGAGTTTATGTGATGTATCACGTTTATTGATTTGTGGATGTTGTACCAGCCTTGCATCCCTGGAATTAAGCCCACTTGGTCATGGCATATGATCTTTTTAATATATTGCTGGATCACATTTGCTAATATTTTGTTGAGGATTTTAGCATCTATGTTCATCAGGGATATTGGCCTGTAATTCTCTTTCTTTGTAGTGTCTTGATCTGGTTTTAGAATTAGGCTAATGCTGGCCTCATAAAAAGAGCTTACAAGTGTTCCTTCCTCTTGGATTTTTTGGGATAGTTTGAGGAGGACAGATGTTAGCTCTTCTCTGAATGTTTGGTAAAACTCCCCTGTGAAACTGTCCGGGCCAGGGCTTTTGTGTACTGGAAGTTTTTTGATTACTGCTTCAACTTCATCAGCAGTTATTGGCCTATTCAGGTTTTCTGACTCGTCCTGACTGAGTTTTGGAAGATTGTATTTCTCTAGGAATTTGTCCATTTCATTGAGGTTGTCCGGCTTGGTAGCATATAGTTGTTCATAGTATTTTCTTACAATCCTTTGTATTTCTGTTGAGTCAGTTCGTCACCTCTTTCGTTTCTGATATTATTTGGGCCCTCTTTCTCTGTTTCTTGATGGGCCTGGCTAAAGGTTTGTCAATCTTGTTTATCTTTTCAAAGAACCAGCTCTTGGTTTTATTGATATTTTGTATTGTTTTTTCAGTCTCTATGTCATTTATTTCTGCTCTCATCTTTATTATTTCCTTTCTTCTACTTACTCTGGGCTTTCTTGTTGTTCTCTAAGTTCTTAAGTTGTAGGGTTAGAGAGTCTATTAGAAATGTTTCTTGTTTTTTTTGAGGTAGGCCTGCAATGCTATGAATTTCCCTCTCAGGACTGCTTTCACTGTGTCCCGTAGATTACAGGTTGTCGTGTGTTCATTTTCATTTGTTTCCAGGAAGTTTTTTGATTTCTTCCTTGATCTCATTGGTAGCCCATTCATTGTTTAATAACACGCTATTTAGCCTCCATGTGTTTGAATGTTTTTTAGTGTTTTTGTTGTAGTTGATTTCTAATTTCATGCCTTTGTGGTCCAAGAAGATGCTTGATATGATTTCAGTCTACTTGAACTCGTAGAGACTTGTTTTGTGTCTTAACATGTGGTCTGTCTTTGAGACTGTCTTGTGTGCGCTTGAGAAGAATGTATATTCTGCAGCTTTGGGGTGAAATGTTCTATAAATGTTAATTAAATCCGTTTGATCTAGTGTGTCATTTAGGGACACTATTTCCTTGTTGATTTTTTATGTGTGGAAGATCTATCCAGTGAAGTCAGTGGGGTGTTAAAGTCACCTAATATGACTGTATTGCTGTCAATCTTTCCCTTAAAGTCCTCTGGAAATTTTTTTATAAATTTAGGTGCTCCTATTTTGGGTTCATAGATGTTTATGAGGGTTATATCCTCTTGTTGATCAGTCCGTTTAGTATTATGTAATGACCTTTCTTGTCTGTCATTATGGTCTTCATTTTGAAGTCCATTTTGTCAGATATGAGTGTTGTTACCCCAGCTTTTTTTTCATTTCTATTTGCATGGGAAAATTTTTTCCATCCCTTTACTCTCATCCTGTGTGAGTCTTTTTTTCTGAGGTGGGTCTCTTTTAGACAGCGTATATTTGGGTCATGTTTACTTATCCACTCCGCCACCCTATGTCTTTTCGTTGGAGCATTTAATCATTTACATTTCAAGTTATTATTGATAGATATTTATCTATTGCCATTTTAGCTCTTTATGCCTATGTTTCATTCTCTCTTGCTACTTCTAATTACAGCAGTCCCTTTAACATTTCCTGCAATGCTGGTTTGGTGGTGATAAATGCCTTTAGCCTTTTTTTGTCTGTGAAGCTGTTTATTTCACCATCTATTTTGAATGATAGCTGTGCTGGATAGAGTAGTCTTGGTTTCAGATTCTTGCTTTTCTTTTCTTTTTTCTTTCTTAAGTATATCTTTATTGATTTCAGAGAGAGGAAAGGAGAATGAGAGAGATAGAAATATCAATGATGAGAGAGTCATTGATAGGCTGCCTCCTGCATGCTCCCGACTGGGGATCGAGCTTGCAACCCGGGCATGTGCCCTGACCGGAAACCGAACCCTGATCACGTGGGTCCTAGGTGGATGCTCAACCACTGAGCCACGCCCGGCCAGGCAGGTTCTTGCTTTTCATTACCTTGAATACTTCATACCATTCCCTCTGGCCTGTAGAGTTTCTGATGAGAAGTCACCTGACAGCCTTATGGGAACTCTTTAGTAGGTAACAGATTGCTTTTTTCTTGCTGCCTTTAAGATTCTCTCTTTGTCTTGAATTTTTGACATTTTAATTATGATGTATCTGTGCGTGGACCTCTTTGGATTCTTCTTGCTTGGGACTCCCTGTGCCTCCTGAACTTGTGTGACATTTTCCTTCACTCGGTTAGGGAAATTTTCTGCCATTATTTTTTCAAATAAATTCTCTAACCCTTGCTTATTCTCTTCCCCTTCTGGTACTCCTATGATGCAAATATTGTTATGTTCATGATGTTCCACTGCTCATACTGTTCTCCTGTTTTTTATTTTTATTTTTTTGGCTCTCTGATTGATTTTTTTCTATCATCTTCTAATTCACTGATCCGATCCTCAGCTTCCTCTAATCTGCTGTTTGTTCCTTCCAATGTATTATTTATTTCTGCTATGTCATTTTTAATTTTCTTCATAGTTTCCCTATCTTTTCCTATCATCCTTACAATCAGTATTCTAAATTCTGTATTTAATAGATTGCTTATCTCCATTTCACTTAGCTCTTCATTTGGAGGCTTCTCTTGTTCTTTCATTTGGAGCTTGTTTTTTGTCTCCGCATTTTGGCTGCCTGTTTGGGTTTGTTTTTATGTATTAGGTAGATCTGCTAGGACTCTCAGTCTTTTTGGAGGGTCTCTGGTGCAGACCACTGTCAGATGCTGTTTGTGACTGGCTTTGAGTACCCTCTTTGGAGCTAACAACAGCCCACGGCTTGAGGTCTCCTCTGTTGGTGCTGGTGCATTTGAACAGGACCAAGATGCACACCAAAGTCTGCTTTTCCAAGGCTGGGGTCCGGAAGCAGATCAGGAAAAGACTCAAAGCACTCTTAGGTCCACGTCTACCTGCCGGCTGATTAATCTGAATCTCTTAATGAACTTCAGGCTGCAGAAACTCCAAAGGGTGGGTGGCTGATTGTTATCAGTCTCTTAATGGGCCTCAGGCTGTAGAAACTCCACAGGGTAGGGTGAGAGGTTTTCCAGCAGGGTGGGACAGTTGCTTCCCCCTTATGCAAAAGCTGCTTGGAAGGTAAATGTCTGCCTGAGAAAGAGGTCCTCTGCAGTATGGGGACATGACTCAGCACAGGAGTCAAGAGGGGTGCCCTCTGAGCTCTATCCCCAGAGCCCACAACCCTAGATTCTCCTCCCACTACTCCAGTCCACTGTGCCCTCCCTCTGCTGGAGCCCAGGGTGAGTGGCTGCACACAAAACCTTGCATGTTAGCCTGTTAAGAGGGTGTTTGCATTTCCAGCCCTCTCTCTGTGGCAGACAGAAACCTGGCTGCTTTTCACAGCCAGATGTCATATAGGCACCTTTCTCAGTTCTAGTGCTCTTGGCTTGGAAGCCCAGCTTGAGGTTTAGGCCCCAGAGTCCTCAGTGGGAACCCCCCACAGCTGAGATACCCCTCCGGACCTTCAGCTGCTACCTGTGGGAGCCCAGCCAGCCCTCTCACGTCCACACTTCCTACCAGTATCTATGTGGTCACCACTTTTCCTCCTTGGTTATGAGGGTGCTCTCCAGCTTGTCTTCAGTTGCAGTTGATTATTCAGGATGGTTTTTCTATAGTTTAGTTGTAATTCCAGTTTGGTCCTTGGAGAGTGTAGGTGTAGCTCCCATGTAATCTGCTGCCATCTTGGATCTTCCTTTTTATATTTAAAAGTATATTTAAAAGAAAAACTATGAAAAAAATAAAAAATAAAAAAATAAAAGAAAAACTATGGAAGTTGTATGTTCTGTGAGTAGAAGGAGATGCAGAGAGACTAGATGCACATAAGGTAGAGAGCAATCCCCCAGGCCTTCCCCTGCTGTCCTGGCATAATGAGAGTTTGCTGAATGTCTTTCCAGGTCTTTCTTACGCAAGTTTGTTTTGCACATTTGAATGCTTGTTTATGTGTAGTTATACACACACACATATAGTTCAATACAAATTACATCATATTTTGCAAATTATCTCACAACCTCTTCTACTCTATAGTATAGCACAGACATTGTTCAGCAAGTGCTGCAGTCTTTTAAATAGCTACATAGAGTCTCAAAGTCAGATGTATCATATTTTGTTTGATCAGATGCTTGTTTTTTTCTGGTTACTGCAAACAGGCTTTAGTGGGGGCGCAGGGAGGGAAATGCACATTTGTGCATTTCTTTAGGATGGACCCCTAGAAAAGGACTTGCTAGACTGAAGGCACACTCTCCCAGCTGGCCGTCCTGCTTATACAGAGATGTAGTGCCTTCCCCTCACTTTTACCAACGTGGGGTGTTACCAGACTGGACACTTCACGTGGGAGGACAGATTAGCCAGTAACTTAATTCACATCATTCTCTGTCTTAGTGAGGTTGGCTCTTTGTATTTGTTTAATGTCCTTTTTGTAGGTTTTGTTCTTTGAATTACATATTCCTGTTATTCATTTTTCTGTCACCTTGTCTTTTTCCTGTTGGATTTCAGGAGCCTGTATTATTTCTCACTGTGTTTATTTAAGCTCTGCCCTTTTCCGGAGCAAACTGGAGGTGGCTCTTTTTCTAACAGAGCACTCTGTATCTATAGCAACTATTAGTGCCTGGCTGAAGCTGTGGTAAAACTCAAGATGGCTTGTGCTTGTGAAGTGCTTTATTCGTGTGGGTACTCCAGCGCACACAGTAGTAAGCACAGTGCAGGAATCCTTCCAAATTGATGCTGTTTCTCAAAGGTGGTGGCTTAGTGGGTTTTTTTTCCTTTAAGGAATGGTCTGTGGTCTTTACTATGGTCTTCTTGGTATGAAATGTAGTATTTGTGAAACTGCATATACATTTTTGTTTACCACATTTAAGGCAAAAGTCATGTAGTTAATATAGTCTATAAACTCACCACTTAGGTTGTTTTTATTTTCCTTTCCCTCAGCATCCCCAGAGAAACATCACCTTATTTGGCTAATCTCCTTTTGGGTTTGCTTCAGAAAAACCAAAAAGATAGAATGGACTTTGGTAAGTAATATGTTCAAATTCCTCATGATTTCTAATTTTACTTCTGTGTATTCTGAAAAAATTGTTTTTAAAAAGATAGTATAGGGGTTTAAGAAGAAAATTAAAGTCAATTTCACTTTTCTTTCTATCTCTGTCTTTTTCTTTCGCTTACTTTGTAAATGTTTATTGAGTGCCTGCTATGTTCTAGTATGAAGGATAGAGTAATAAACAAAACCCCTGTCCTCATGATGCATATATCCTAGTGGGGGAGAGATACAAATTATAAGCTCTAATTACATGCTATGTTAGAAAGTGGTAAGTACTGTGAAAAAAAATAAAGAAGGAAGAGAAATGAGGGTGGGTGGGGGTTAAAGTTTCAAATAAGGTCACCAGTGAAGACTTTTTTGAGAGAGTGACACTGGCACAGAGGTTGATTGACAGGTGTGGGATAGTGAGCCATGGGTATCTATGGGAGAGCTTTTCAGGCAGAGTCAATAGCCAGTACCAAAGCCCTGAGCCAGGAACATGTCACATAAAGACTTGGCTTCTGCTTAACGTGTGATGGAGGATTTTGAACAGAGGAACAATTTGATCTGATTAATGTTTTGAAAGGATCCGTCTGGTTGCTTGGTGAGAACAGCCTGTGGTGAGGGGTGGTGAGGTGGAGGGAATCAGGAGACCACAGAGTCACTCCTGTGAGAGATGCAGTAACTTAGACTGGGGCAAAAGCAGTGGAAGTGGGAAGAAACTGTTGAATTCTGGATCTTTTTGGAGGTAGAGGCAACTGCATTTCTGGATGAATTAGATGGTGGGGGGTGAGAGACAGAGAAGACTCAAAGATGACTCCCAAGATTTTTGGCTTGAGCACCTGAAAGGGTGGAGCTGTCAGAGGATGGGAAAGACTTTGTGGATAGAGCAAGCTGTGGGGGCAAGATGAGACGTTTAGTTGGACGTGGTGAATTTAAGATAGCCATTGATTTTAAGAGCAAATGTCAAAAAGCATCTGGAGAAGGGGAGAAGTCGAGACTGGTGAAATATTTGGGGAAAGATCTGGGAAGAAGGAGTGGAGGGAGAAACACCCCAGAATCCTGGTAGAAAAGCCCCCAGCCTCAGAGAATGGGCTTAGGGAGCCAGGGAGGGCACCTCCTTGTATGGTGGCCTTTTGGCGTGTGCTCTGGGAGAGGGGGCTGTGGGTGCCTCAGAGGCCAGGGCCTTTGTCCTAGAATTTTAGATTCTTGAGGTAGAGGCTCATATTATTGATCTTGAACCTTTCTTCTTTTATAATAGAAGCATTAAAGCTAAAAATTTCCCTCTCAGTACTTTAATTCATCACAGTGTGTCTTCATATACTCTTTTACCACTTCATGTGTAATGGAAGAACTTAGAGTGCTTACTATTGTAGGGATTATCTAGTTTTTGAAGAACCCTCCCTCATCCTTGAAACTGTTTGGGTCTCAGCTCCTCTTTGGGGGATAGTTTGTTTACTTGTTCTTATCAACCTTATGTAAAAATAGCAAGACTTCAAAATGACAGACCAGAAAGACCATAAAACATGTTTAATGAAAATGCTTATCAAATTAACTCTGATCTTCAAATAAAAATTTAAAAAGATATTTTTTCTGTAGTAATAATTATAATAATGGTAGAAATTTGAAAAAAATTATTCCATAATTTTGGTCTGTTAATGTATATTATGGAAATCCACATAAGCTTCTGGATAAGACACACTCTGGTTTAATTCTTCCTTCAACTTGCCAGCATTTTGACAGTGGGGAAGAGACACGGCCTCACTTGTGAAAGGAAGACAATACCTTGCATGAAATTAGTGGGAGTTAAATGAGACCTGGGCTCTGAAGCACTCAGTTCATTGTCCTAGTAAAGACCTTGGTAGATGGTGGCCTTAATAGTTCCTATGTAAGGGGAGGGCAAAATCAGCTGAATACAGACTTTCTTAAAAGTTTAATGAAATTCCATTCATGTAGTTGGAAAGTATTTTTATCTTTCAGAAGAAGAGATTAAATCAGGAGCTGCTCTATAATCATGAGAAATATGGGTCAACAGTGAAACAGCATACTCATGGATAATAGTTCTAAAATGATAGGTTATATTAAATATTCATATCCTTTCCATGCCATCGCAGTTGATTTGGAAGGTGGTTTCAGAGTCTTTGTGTTGTCTGTCTAGTTTCTTCACTTATATCTTTTCTTTTTCATTCCTATTATGTCCTTTGTGAAAGTCAGCATAAAAAAACCTTACTGTCAAACCAGAATTTATGTATATATGTATATTAATTTTTGTTCTAAAAAGACCTAATGTAGAGCCCGGCCAGCATGACTCAGTGATTGAACATCAATCTGTGAACCAGGAGGTCACAGTTCGATTCCCAGTCAGGGCACATGCCCAGATTGCTGATTCTCTCTCATCATTGATGTTTCTTCTATCTCTCTCCTTCTCCCTTCCTCTCTGAAATTGATAAGCACATATTAAAAAAAAAAGATCTAAGGTAGAAAACTCATGTTTCTATTCAGAATCCTCCACACTTCTATTCCTTAGCAAGTGCTGTGGTTGACATTTACTTGAAGGGGCTTTGGGTACTGATTTCAGTGAAACTCATGGGATCCTTCAGAGTGGAAGATAGTTTAGTCTAAACCTGAGTTCAGCTTATTACTGATCTTGTATTACCTAATAAACTTCCATGTGGGTACTGTGCTATTCTCCTTGCCTACTCTGTGATATTTAATATCATACAATTTGGAGACTTAATGATAGTGAGGTTATCTTTGTGGGTCTTTTTTTTAATCCTCACCTGAGGATATGTTTTCATTGAGTTTTAGAGACAGAGGAAGGGAGAGAGGGGAAGAGAGAGGGAAAGAGGGGGAGAGAGGGAGAGAGGTCAATGTGAGAGAGAAACATTGATCGGTTGCCTCCTGTATGTGCCCTGACTGGGAATTGAACCCTCAGCCTTTTGGTGTATGGGATGACGCTTTAACCAACTGAGCCACTGGCCCGGGCAGTCTTTGTGGTTTTTTAAAGAAATAATGAAATAATTTATATGTACAGGAAAATAATGAGCTATCATGTACTCATCTACTTAATATCTTTATCTAATTGTCAGGATTGTTGTTAACTTTTATTCCTGGTGGATAGTGAAGAAATTCAATTAATAGTTTTTTAAAATAGTTTTTTTTTTTTTAATAGTTTTTTGAAACCACCTTCAGGACTGTTTCTTCTGGGATAGAAGATAGAATTTTATTGTACAAATCAACTACCTAGATTTCCTCTTAGGACAGTGAACAGCCATAGTTCAGAAATATGCTGAGGAAGGGCCTGGTCCCAGCCCAGCACTCCCCGGGGTCTGCCTGAGGACACCACACACTGGAGAGCACGTCTCCTGCCAGTGCCTCAGGATGTGCTGTGTTGGTAATGATGTTTTGAAATTTCACAGTTATTATTTTAAATTTTTCATTGATTAAGAATTACTTATAATTTGATAATTTTTTGATTTGTAAAAATAACATGCTTTTACATTGAAAGGAAATGGAGGCAACATGAATGAATTATTTATGATCTTAAAGACATTATGTTTATCAGCCTGTTTGCCAGTCAGCGCTATTGTAAAGGCTGCATTCTTGTTTTCATTACAGAAGCATTTTTCAGCCATCCTTTTCTTGAACAAGTTCCAGTAAAAAAATGTGAGTACCCACTTTTTTCATTTTTACCAAAGAGTGAATGCAAGCTTAAGGAAAAATTAGTATTTTATATACAAAATTAATTTTTCATTGTGTTTCTTAAGATTTCATTGACCTTCTTTAAAATACCTATAGTTGTGTTTATTTAATAATAGTTCTGTTTCTCCCTTCCAACTCTAAGTGAAATAGTTCTAGTAATTGCTGCATTTAATAAGTTGAAGTAGTCTTAGTTATTGTGTATTTAATAAGTAGGCGAATGTGAATTTTTGGTCAACACAAACGTTAGTGGTTCTGATAGGTTTTTCTATTAGGTCATGTAATTGACTTACAAAGTGGTGCTTCTCACTGTCTCTGTCCCCACAGCCTGCCCAGTGCCAGTGCCCGCGTGTGCTGGCTTTGTCTCGGGAAGCTCCTGTGGCCCCTCTCCATCATGTCGTTTTGCCTCTCCACCAGTAAGTTCTGGTTTTATTAAATACAATTTCAGTTAGTGCCATTGCATCTTTTCATGTTCTTTTTATATGTGGTATTCACTAGTACAGCTGAGGCTTAGGTCAAATGGACCTAGGTTTTGACCTCTGCCCTAAGCTTCAGCAAGAAATTTTACCTTTCTGGGCTGCTTTCCTCTGAACAGTGAGTATGCTACTCTCACCTTCTCATGCCCTGTGGGGTTGGGAAGGATGATGCTTGCAAACAAAGAGTACCGCTTATTAAATAAAGGTGGGTATGTAATTAATACATATTTATTTTATCTGAATGCCATAACAGTTTGGATAAAAACAGATGAGTCTTATTATGCATAGAATTCCCAGTGGTAGAGGAGTGACGCCTGAGTCAGATCTCACTGACTTAGACTCCCTTAGTTGTGATTCCTGGCCTGGTAAGCTTGTTCTACTCTACCCTCTTCCCCCTGCTGAGGTCCCCAGGCCATTTCCCCGTGGCTGTCTTCTCTCCGGTCCAAGTGCTTCTTCCTGACCCTGAGAACTTCCGATCACTTCTGGTTGCTACTGCTTCCTACTCTACCCCCCAGGGTCTTACTTTACCGTCCTCTGTATTTTCCTAGACTGGCCCTTCCCCTAGATCTCTGTTGCAGCTGGAGAGGGTTGTGACCTTGAGGTTTTCCTGCAAGCTGAAGGTCCAGGCTCTTGTGTCAGCTATTGCATGTTCCAGATTAACGTGGCAACATGAATTTCTTCAGCTCTGCTGGCAGAAGGGTGGGGGAGTCATAATAGGAGGTGACTGTATGATTAGCTGGTTGAGGCCACTCAGGTTTAAAAGTATGGCGCTTGGGAGCTTCCACAACCCTTACTTGCCATATTAACTAGGACAAGTGACTTAATCTCTCTGAACTGGTTTCTCATATGTAAAGTGAGTATAAATGAGCAGAAGCACGTACTATAGTGCTTGACACACAATAAATACTTAGCAAGTGGCAACTGCTATTTTCCTGGGAAACCTAGGATGCTAATCAGCCTGTTGCAAACAGATGAGTCTTAAAACTGGCAAAAAACCTTTTCACACAACCCTGCAGACTCAAGCTAAATAGAAAAAGTAGATGCGCAGGTAAGACATGTTCTCATGAGTTTAAAAAACACACTGGATTTGGAGTGATTGGGGATAAATGGGGAGGAAGTGTGTTGACAGGGAAGGACTTTATCTGGGGCCAGGCATAACTGGCTTCTTGTTGGCTCTGCTACTTGCTCACTGTCACTTTGGGCGAGTCAGCTCTGGAGCGGAGCCAGGGCTTGCTGTCTGTAAGGCGGCTAACTGCCCTTTGTGTGAGGGCGGTACATGCTAGTGTGTGCAGGGTGCCTCACCATGGTGAGTACCGGGTGAGCCGGAGCCGTTATTATGAAGTATACATTTGATGCATATGTTACATAATGTGGAAGCAAAGCTTATGCTAGAACAAGGGAAACTGGAAGACTGTGAGAGAGCAGGAATAGAGGAAAAGACCAGGTAGGACGCTGAGCTGGAACTTGCTCTGACTGGCGAGAGCATGTTGGCATCTTTTGCTGGATACGTAGCATTGAAAGGAAAGCAAAACAGGAGCTAGGCTTTGGGCTACTGGGGAAGAGCAGAAGAGAGTGCCGATGGGGTGTTGCAGGGCAGAGAGGGGGTCATACTTAGAACCTAAAAATGTCAGTGGGAGACCATTTTTAGAGCTTATTAAAAGCTCACACTTAAAGTGAAAATAAAAGGGAAAGCAGGAACATTTCTTATAACTTCCGGTTAGTGAGATTAGAAAATGGGAGGTTTGATTGGTTTTTAATATAATCTGCCAAAAGTAAGATTGTTCCACACACCTGCTCTCCTTCCCTGGGCTGCAGCAGACTCTCTCTCAGGGCTAGTGCACACGGGGCGCACATTCTTTTTTTTTTTGTTCTTTCACACAGATATGCAGCTGTGTCTTTTTCCAGAGAAATCTTTGAAAGGCAACTCTCCCCCCCAAAAAAACCCTTAAGATAAGTCCAAATCACTGGTTTAGTTAAGATACTGGCTATAGGTTAAATGCTATTTATTTATTTATTTATTTAATTTTAAGGATTTTTTTTTTAAAAAAAAGTTTTTACTGATTTCAGAGAGAGGAGGGGAGAGGGGGGGAGAGAGAGAGAGAGAGATAGAAACATCAATGATGAGAGAGTCATTTGATCGGCTGCCTCCTGCACACCCCTTACTGGGCATTGAGCCTGAAACCCAGGCATGTGCCCTGACTGGGAATCGAACCGTGGTCTCCTGGTTCATAGGTCGACACTCAACCACTGAGCCATGCCGGCTGGCTGGGCTAGGTTAAATGATATTTAAATAATATCTCTTTAATATCTGTTTATTAGTTTGGTTCATTTATTACATGCCTGCTTTGTGTGAGGTTCTCAGTTGATACTAATGAATGATATGACCAGGTCTCTTACAATAAGGAGTTTTAATTGAATTGTTTGGAGAAGAGGCAGGCTAATCAATCACTGTTAGAAGCATGTGTGTATATGTCTTTATTGCCTGTGGGAATGTGGATGAGGGGTATGAAATCAGACCAAGAATGAAGGAAGGCTGCTCAGAAGAGGGACCTCAGCTGAGGCTTGAAGAAAGAGCTAGCAAGCCAGGAAAGCATGGCCACTGAAGAACTCTGCATCCCTCCATGGCCACTTACGTTTAAATTGGCTTGAACTAAATGAAATTTAAAATTCCATTTCTTAGTCACACTAGCCACATTTCTAGTGCTCAGTAGTCATCTATAGCTAGTGGCTCCATACTGGACAGCCTGGATAGAGAACTTTCCATCATTGCAGGGAGTTCTGTTGGACAAGGCTTCTCTCAGCAGGTCAGTCTGGTGGATGTAAAGAGCATTGGTGAGGGGAAAATAAAGTTAAAGACGTAGGAAGAAGCTGTATCTCGAAAGAATTTGAGCATTGAGCAAAGGAGTTCCAGTTTTATCCGTAAGGCTGTGTTGAGTTACTTGAATGATTTCAAGTGGAGGTGTGCTCTAGCCAGATACTTCTGAAAGCAGGGTGGAAGACTGGACGGGACAAGTAGAGAGGCCTCCTCACCAGAGGAAGGAGAACAGCCCATGACTGTTGCAGCTTTTTTGTTGTAAAGAATGAGGGCTGAGCTAAGGCAGCAGTGGGAAAGAAGCAGATGGGATGCAGGTGGGAGAAAGGGAACACATTTGCAGAGCTGGGAGATTGGTTGAACTTGGGACTAAGGAAGAGGGAGACCTTAAAGGGAGTGACTGGATGGGTGGTGGTGAGGGCACTCAGTAAGGGAACACAGGGAGGAGGGCTTTGGAGGATGAGAGCAATGAGTTAGTGTTGTACAAGCAAGCCACGGGCTAGAGCTCATCGGAGAGCATCTGGGCTCAAAGTCATCATCATGCAAGCGGTAGCCGAAGGTAGGTCATGAGTGGTCACTGGGGTAAGTATAAAACATGTCAGGAGTAGAGGACCAGGGTGGCATCTTGGGGAATGCTGTACTCTTCTCTTTGAAGGGGCAAATGAGAAGCAGGCACCCACAAAAGAGAAGTAGGGAAGGCAGGCAGAAGCAGGGTCGCTGAATGAAGGGGTAGAGTGTCAAGAAAGGAGTGGTCAACAGTTCAGCTGCAGCAGAGAATTCAAGGAGCTTAGGGAGTAGAGGAAGTGTCCGCAGGACTTGGCAATGGGCATTACTGGTAAGCTTAATGAAGACCATTTTATTGGAGCATTAAAGGCAGAAAGTGGATGATGGTTGATTAACGGGTATATGGGTAGTCAGGAATTTGAGTCGGTGAAGATCGATAATTTCAAGAAACATCATTAAGAGAAGATGGTAATTACAGGGATTTGAGATGGGAGAAAACAAAATGGTAATGTGCAGAAGGGGAAAAGCCAGAACCAAGGCAGAGGGCAAAGTGTCAGGAGCAAAGGGAAGCTGACCTAGGTCATGGAAGAGGTGGGGGAATGGGGTTAGAACGAGCATAGAGGAGAGGTTGGCTGTTCATGCAAGAAGCCCCCCTTTCACAAGGTAACTGTGGATGCAGATAATTTTACAGGTAACAGGAAGAAATGCAAAAAGTTTCTGCCTAAACCACTGAAAGAAGTTGTGGACATACTTGGAATCACATCTCAACATGACTGCTTTTTAGTTGTGTGATCTTGGGCAGATCCTGATCATCTGAGTTTTGTTTTTGTTTTTTAATCCCCACCCAAGGATATTTTTTCCACTGCTTTTCAGAGAGTGAAGGGGAGGGGGAGAGAAACATCGATTGGTTGCCTCCTGCATGTGCCCCAACTGGGCCAGGAATCCAGCCTGCAGCTGAGGTAGGTGCCCTTGGCTGGAATTGAACCTGGTACCTTTCAGTCCACAGGCCAACGCTCTAACCACTGAGCCAAGCCAGCCAGGGTCTGATCTTCTGAGCTTTTTTTATTTAAAACTGGAATGGCCCGGCCGGGCGTGGCTCAGCTGTTGAGCATCGACTTAGGATCCAGATCGTGGTTCGATTCCTGGTCAGGGCACATGCCCAGGTTGCGGGTTTGATCCCCAGCCGGGGACGTGCAGGAGGCAGCTGATCAATGACGACTCTCTCATCATTGATGTCTCTCTCTCTCCTCTCCCTTCCTCTTTCTGAAATCAATAAAGATATATTTTAAAAAATGGAATAGAATTCATATTGGGACTGAAGTTAGCTAATACCTGGAAAACTCTTCACAGTATCTAGTCCATGGTTGATGTCCACTATAGTTAGTCCTTCCATCTTCCCTTCCTTGAGATATAAGTTCTCTTCAAAAAGTAATAGATTTTATGTTGTGTACATCACACACACTCAAAAAGAAGTGATAAGGAGATTTGAGACTGATTTCATTGCACAGTGACATTAAGAGAAGCACCAGCAATGAGTTGGGTGTTTAAGACTTGAGTTTAAAGAGCATTATGTAGTATTTTTCCTTTTCTTAAATGGAAACAAAGGTTAAACTTAATGGGGACTTAAACATAATAACTTTTTAGTTTGTTGTTTTAGAAAAACCATTATATAATCAGGACATTCAGTTAGAGTTGTCACTAGAGACCTTGAACTGGGCAAGTGCTTACTAGGAAGGTAAAGAGACACCTGTTTGTTTAAATATTTTCATAGTTTTCTTCCCTTGCTGTCCTACCTCCCACAGACCAACTCTTCCCCCTAACAAAAGAAATACACCTACACCTTTAAGGTTTTCTAAACTTTTTGTGAATATAAATAAACCTCAAGCTTAAATGCAGTTATTATTATTGATATATTTACTTTTTTACATAATATGGTCTCCAGCTTTCCTGTTTGTAACTTTTTCTTCATCGGAGATTTAAGACTTTATGTGCTTCCAGGATGTCATTAAAATCCCTGGACATTTTGTTTTAGTCATTAAGTGAACAGTTATCGAATATCTGCTTTGCAAAGCCGTGAGCTGAAACTGGGGATACTGAGATGGTTCAAACTCATCTCAAACATTTTTGGAGAGGCGTACGGGTACATGTGGTAAGTGGCATGGTGTGTGTATATATTTCATATATATATATGTAAAATATGTCTTTATTGATTTCAGAGAGAGGAAGGGAGAGGGAGAGAGACATAGAAACATCAGTGATGAGAGCGTCATTGATCGGCTGCCTCCTGCACGCCCCCTACTGGGGATCGAGCCCACAACCCAGGCATGCGCCCTGACTGGGAATAGAACTTCGATCTCCTGGATCCTAGGTTGATACTCAACTGCTGAGCCACACTGGCTGGCATGGTATATTTTTAAGTATCCCTTTTGGAAAACATTTAAGAAGTCTTTATGCAAAGAGATTTGAAACTGTGCTTTTCTAAAGGAAAGATTTCCGAAGACATTTTTTGAAATTTTAGACGAAATTGAATTTATGGCTACTTTTATGAAAAAAATATTCTTTAGTCTGATGGCTCTTCTGACTTGCACTTTATTATTAGGCCAGGTTTAATTTTATGTTGTTAATTTTAGTCCTTTCCAGATGTGCAGCATATTCAGGAAGAAACCCTGTCCTCCCCACCTCTGGGTCCTCCCAGCTACCTACAGGTGTCCAAAGATTCTGCCAGTACGAGTAGCAAGAACTCTTCCTGTGACACGGACGACTTTGTTTTGGTTCCACACATCTCGTCAGACCACTCATGTGAGAATCTTTTCTAGCTATATACATTCTGTTTCTTAATTTACTAGACTAGCATTGTTTGTTTGTTTTTTTAACCTTTATATCACGCTCTCTTTTTATTTAGTTTGAATTCCCAATATTACAGACCTGCCTTTCTAAAATATTCTTAGTCATCTTCCATAAAATCATAACTTTGGATTCTGAAGGTGCATGAAAACTTTATAGAAAATGATCTCATTCTGTTTGTATCTAAAGATACGAATAGAAATAATTTGTATAATAAGAAAAATTAAGTTTAAGGAAAGGAATTAAAGGAAGATCTCTTTTAGAAAAAAACCTAAGGGTCACAGTCCTAAAGCAATCTAGAGGCCTTCAGGAAATAATGGTGTAAATTCAGGAGCAAACTTCATAGACATACAGGGAGAATATTTATGAAGAGAGGTGAGTCCAAGTTGACTGAATACGATAGTTCTGTTTTCATTGTCTGGGTTTTCACGTTTGAGTTTTGGTAAATTGTGTATTTCACAGAATTGATCCATTTCATCTAGTTTGTCAAATGTGTGGGCATAGAGGTCATAGTAGTCCTTTATAATCTACCTTCCCATTATCTATCTTTTTAATTTCAGTGGGATCTTTAGTCATGTCCTCTCTTTCATTTCTCATATTAAAAGTTGTGTCCTTTTCGATTTTCTCAAACTTTTCAAATTTGGTCTTGTTGATTTTATTGATTTGCTGTTTTCAGTTTCATTGATTTCTACTTTAATTGTTATTATTTCTTTTATTCCGCTTACTTTGAATTTAACTTGCTTTTTTTCTAGTTTCCTGGGGTGGAAACTTAGAGTTTAGACCTTTTTTGTTTTCTAATACATGCATTCGATGCTGTATATTTCTTTTCAAGCACAGCTTTCACTGCTTCCCACACATTTTGATAAATTGTGTTTTCATTTTCCTTTACTTAAAAATATTTTAAAATTTCTCTTGAAGCTTGTTCTTTGACTCATGAGTTATTTATTTATTTATTTATTTATTTATTTATTTATTTATTTATTTTTTAAAAATATGTCTTTATTGATTTCAGAGAGAGGAAGGGAGAGGGGAGAGAAAGATAGAAACATCAATGATGAGAGAGGGTAATTGATCGGCTGCTTCCTGCACGCCCCCTACTGGGAAGCCTGAAACCTGGACTTGTGCCCTGACCTGGAATCAAACCTCGGTCTCCTGGATCATAGGTGGATGCTCAACCTCTGAGCCATGCTGGCTGGGTGACTCATGAGTTATTTAGAAGTGTGTTGTTTAATTTCCACATATTTTGGGATTTTTCAGTTATCTTTCTATTAATTTCTAGTTTTATTCCATCATTATCTGAGAGAGTAGAGATTGTATGATTTTTATTCTTTTAAATTTGTTAAGGAATGTTTTATGGTCCAGTCTGTAATCTGTCTTGGTGAGTTTGAGAACAATGTGTATATTCTGTTGTTGTTAGATGAAATAGCCTGTAGATGTCAATTATATCTAGGTGATTGATGGTGCTATTGAGTTCAACTTTGTCCTTACTGATTTTCTGTCTGCTTGACCTGCCCATTTCTGAGAGGGTTTGTTGAAATCTCCAACTATAATAGTGGACTCTTTTGTTTCTCCTCGCACTTCTGTCAGTTTTTGCCTAAATGGCTTGACTCATGTTAAGAATTGTTATGTCTTCTTGGATAACTTATTTTATGTAAATAAGATTTTATCATTAAGTTATGTCCTTCTTTATCTCTGATAGCTTTTCTTACTTTGAAGTCTGCTCTGTCTGAAATGAATATAGCTACTTCTGCTTTCTTTCAATTAGTATTAGTGTTGTTTATTTTTTCCATCCACTTTTTTTTTTTAAGAATAGTTTATTGATTTTTAGAGAGAGAGGGAGGGAGAGAGAGAGAAAAAGAAGAACATTGAAGTGAGAACTCAACATCTGTCGGCTGCCTCCTGCACAACCGACCCCTACTGGGGGTTCGAGCCCGCACCCTGGACATGTGCCCTGACCAGGAATTGAATGCAGTTACCTGGATCATAGGTCATTGTTCAACTGCTGAGCCACACCATCTGGGCTACAATTTTTTCTTGATAGCTATGCATGGTGTACCAGGTGAAAGGGACTGCTGTAACTAGGCCTTCAGTAATGTGGTGGTGAGGTTCAGGGGAGGGGCAGTGTTCTGTAGGCCTATGACTAGGTCTCAGTCTTTTAGTGAGCCTTTGACCTGAGAACTTCACAGTGTTTTCCAGCTCTTTATCCAGTATTAGGAGGACAGGATGGCTAGAAGGGCAGGAATTGGGTATTTCTCTTCGCCCAGGGCAGTTAGGCTCTGAGCTTAATGTGAGCAGATTAATAGTTTCCCCTGAGGGCAGGCCTCGTTAAGATCAGAATGCTCTGACTTAACTTAAAAATGTTTCTTTTCCCCTCTTCCCACTGAAAGCAAGAAGAGATTTTTCTCCAATATTTACTGGGAGTCTGTGAGCTCCTGGAGGTAAATCTGACATATTTTGAGCCACCCTCTGACTGGGTCCTCCTGGAATTTGTAACTCTTAGAGTTGTCTGCACTGAGTCTCCAGCACATTGTCGATTATGGTTCAGGCTTTTCTGTCCTGGCTCTGATTTCCAAGCAGGTTTCTATTGGTGAGTCTTCTCAGGTAAGCCAGAGCTCCCTGTATTTGTCTGTCTCTGTCTCTCCAATTTTTGGGGCACCCGTTTGCCCTGTGTCCTCCCCTCTCTTTTGGATACAAGACGAGTTACTGGGTTTTCAGTCTGTTAAACTTTTTATTTGTTAGGATGGAATGCCGACTTTTAAGCTCCTTACATAGGAAAACAGATATGGGAAGAACCCATGTAAGATATTTAAAACATCTATACAATTTAAAAGTGAAAACAGATACCTGAGTACGTTTCTCTGATTTTATTTTTTTGTCAGATTTTCTATCTTTTTGTCTTTTTGCTCTACATTTTTAGGGAAATTTCCTTAATGCTTTCTTCTAACACTTCTGTAGAGTTTTTCATTTATGCCCTCATATTTTGAATTTTCAGAAGCTCTTTCTCCCCCGCTCTGAGTAGTATTGTTCTTACTTCAGGGTGAAATACTTTGTTTTATCTCTGAGGTCATTAATTATATATATATTTTAACTTTTCCTTGAAAAATATTTTAGTTCTTTTTTTCTACCTAGTTTGTTTTGGAGTCTGGTCTTCATATTAGATTCTTTCCTTGGCTGTTTGGTGATTGTTGTATGTTCATAACTAAGGATGGAAGATTAAAACATTGCTTGAGAGCTCTGTGTGTAGTGGGTCTAGGAGCAGTGAGCCTCTGCACTGGGCGGTGTGGCTCAGTCACTGCCTTGGACTGCTTCCTTTTGGGGGGCTTCTCAGATCCCCCAGAGAAGACTCAGCCAGTCTTCTGCCTAAAGAGTATATACCTGATACCATGTGGGGGAGTCAAATAGGGGAAGAAGGCTGGAGGTTGCAAAATTTCACTTACTGACCCCCATTTCCCCCAACCATCTCTTGCTCTATACCACTGCCTTCATCTCTGCCTGGTGCTCTGCAGCTCAGAGACCCTGTGTTTTATTCTGTCCTGAGTATAAACACCTAGTCTCTCCTGTAGTGGAGGATCTGATACTACTAATTACCAGCCTTTTGGGAATCTGATATCAGTTGGTACTTCTGGGCTTTCCTTCTGCTGGCTAAGGATTGTATCTTCTTGGGTCTAATAGGTCAAATACCATTTATATCAACTTTTTAGCTTCCAAATTTTTGTGGCTGTTGACTTTTCTGTTCTTTTGCCCTTGTGAGTTTAGGCTCTTTTCTCTCCTTCCCTTTTCCCCTGTAGTTTCAAAATAACTACATGGCATCAAAATAACAATTATGATTACTAAAAAAACATTTAAAACTTTTTGTGGGTCTTTTTGTCCTTAGGACAATCCCATTAGGAATGTCCAAATTAAATTACTGAGTTTAAATTCTCTTGAAAAATTCATTTTGTTACCAAAAAGGGGACCTACCTGGCCCTGAGCAGGTCTCTCTAGTCCCAGCCGTTAGTGTGTGGGTTCTTGACTTGTGCAGGAAAAATTTTACAACATGAGTCCAGGTGAATATTAGAGCATGTTTGTTAAAGTTAGGGACAGTGAAACAAGAAAGGGCTGGGGAAATGAGCCTAGGCTGGTCTGCTTTGGCTCACTAAGAAGTCAGAGAAAAGGGGGCCTTGGGACAGGTTCAGAGGGGTTGCCTGGGACAAACTGCTGGCTGCTGCCCTGGTTGCAAGCCTTGTGGAATCCCACAGAGTTTAGGTTCATGCTTGTGGGGAAAGGGGGGGAGGAGGTTTGGGCATGCTCCTGGGAGGGAGAGCTTGTGCTGGGATCTTGGTCTTAAGGGGTTTTAAATGCCACGTGTTTAGGGGAGGATTTCGATAGAATATCCTCAGCTTTATGCGAGTGGACCAAAATGAAGTTTATTCTCTTAACTTCATCTTTCCTTGGGTGTGGTTTTGCCAACTAATTGGATTTCTGGTGTCCGTCTCCCTGAGTAGGGTGATTTAAGCTATTTACCCTCTGGTTGGGGAGGAGAAGTGCAATCCATTTACATAAGCCTCTTAAGTGTCCCAGCTTTAGGGAAGATAGGATTTACTAGATGGCTGCCAAATGCTTGACATCTAGATTTTCTAGGTGGCTGCAAACTGTTTATTGGTTTCAGTTTCCCTATTCTGCTTGTCCTGGCTTACTCTTAGCCTGCCTCAAGTTTGGTGATTATGCTATCAAATTGATATATGGTTAGGTTCCTTTGCTGCATTTTACTTTTGATTTCTAGGGATTGTTCTTTTCTTTTAAATTTAATTTTGTTTCATAATTATGTATGGTTTCAAACTCAAAGCTACAAAATGGACAGCTAGTGAATCTAGCTTCTGTCATGGTCCCACCTACCCTGTTTCTTACTTGATAGGCAACTATCATCTTTAAGACACAGCTACTTCCTTGCCCCACTGCTCTTTATCCCCTTATTCTAATTTGCTTTCCTAACTCTTACTTCTCCCTGACATGATTACCTCCTTTCACTGCTAGAATATAACCTTCATAAGAGCAGGGACCGGGATGTGCCAAAATAAATGCATCTCTCAGTGCCCATGTAGGGCCACTCAGAGGAGTGTTGTGACTGCTTTTGTTTCTTTTCCCTTTTTGAGCATAAGGTGTAAGTTAGAATAGTATTTGGTTTTTTTTAGATTTATGTTATTTGGTCAACATTGTGATTTCACATCAACACATACTAATTTTACCTTTACAGTCATTTAAAATCACACAGGGCAATGTGACATAGTGGATATAACAGTGACAAGGGCTGAGGGGCCCCTGCCTTCTGAGCTGTGCTCTATTCCCATAAATAGATGACTAAGGAGTAGATGGAGATGGCTGGTGTCTGAGGCCCCAGCTTTCATGGCACCTCGTTCAACCCATGCAAGACCCAAGAGAGTATTTATGATGCAGGAGGTGCTCCAGTGTTAAAGTGAACTAGACTGTTTAGTCAGCAGTGCTGGAATGCAAGGTGTCTAAAAATCACCACAACCTGCAAAGCTGTTCAGTAAAAGCAACAGAGTTTATGGGCAAATTGGGATTAGGGGGGTACAATACTCAAAATGAAACCGGACAACAAATGTGTCTGGGCTGCTTGTCACTGCTTGAGCCAGTTAAGCAGAGACAGGGTTGAACTGTATATGAGCATTTTATTTTCTAATGTTGCCGGCAGCGTGGGACAGCAGCAGGTCATCCATGAAAATCTGCTCTACCACCCTCCCTTTCTGTAAACCAGCTGCTTGTATTGGGTAGAAGGACGAAGATTAAGAATGAGTATGACTGATACAGGTTACCGGCAGTGTGGGCTGGGGTTGCAGAGGGTGGGCGCCTCCAGGTGGTTACAATCCAGGACTACATTGGGCAACAAAGCTGTTAATCTTTCCATGATTTTAGGCAGTTCTAGAATAGGAGAAGGGACGCATTTCGAGGTTAACTCCCAGGTCCCGGGCCTGCAGCTCCCAGCCAGGTCAGAATGTGCTTTCTCTAATCAGAGCAGAACAATCATGGTTAACAGAGCAGGGTTAATATTTCTTATATAGCTAGTTTCCACTATTCTGTTTCTCCCTCCTGCCCCTAACAAAAACTTTTGTCAGTGACATATTAAAAGAAGCACAATAAAACCACAGCACAGTTTGTGCACTTATTAAATGGTGAAGAAATACATAAATGTGACACTTTACCTTGAGAAGACCTGATGTTTGCTTATAGAAGTGGGCATTGATAGGATTGCAGCCTGTGAATTAAGCTGCTTGCAGTGTTCTGTGTTCACCTGTTGTTACTCATGGACGAAACTGCATGTAAGCAAATGGTTGTGCTCAGATTGTTTCCTAATGTTGACATAAGAAACATCCAAACCTGTAGAGAATTTTTATGAGTTTATTTGAGCCAAACTGACGATAATTGCCAGGAAGCAAAACCTCAACGGATTGAGAAAATGCTCTGGAAAATGGCAGTTTTGTGCCCTACTTTTTACACATTAGAATCAAAGGAGAAGACTTAAGGGGATTATGTGAAATCCATTGGTGATAGATTAGGGAGGCAGGAGAAAGCAAATCCAGGAAATCTGTGGGATTTGATAAAAAGTAAAACCAAGAGACACATACTTTCACATTGATGCGTATAGGATAGTAACAATTAACATTTACAGCACATAGAGATGGTGTGCTGAGGCGGGATAGGATAACAGTGGGGCTCTGTGGTCTCCTCCTCTGGTGGGAGAAGGTGCCTTGTGGGGTCCGGAAAAAGGAAATCACCCTGACATTCCAAAGGCATGTTTTCATAGATGCAAAAAAACAATAGCCAGGCTCAGTCAAGGTAAAGACTGACCTTTGTCAGGGAAGATACTGGCCTAGGACATGACTACCTGCCATGACTCGCTTTTAGTTAGGAAGTTTTCATTTCAGACCGTCCTCTGTGCTGACTTTAGGTCTCTGAGTTGGTAAGGCTGCCTTGCAGGCCTCCCCTGAGTTGTCAGGCTTAGTATGTGGCCTCTGTTTTGTCCACACTAATAATCATGTAGAAACAATTTATGTTTAGGTAGATGGTATTAGCAGAACTGACTATATTTCTCTTTCTCCTTTAGATGATATGCCAGTGGGAACTGCTGGCAGACGAGCTTCAAATGAGTTCTTGGTGTTTGGAGGGTATGTTTACATATAATTAACTAAAAGATTTTTTTATGTTTTAAATATTTTGTGAGTAAAGTTATAGAACTTTGTGTTTGTGATTCTAAAATTTATTGTTTTTCAATTTATCATTTTAAAAAAATATATACTTGTGTTAAAAAACACATAAAATCTGCCTTCTTAACCATTTTTGAGTTTATAGTTCAGTAAAGTATATTCAGTATTGTCAAAAAGATCCAGAACTTTTTCACCTTGCAAAACTGAAATTCAGTACTCAGTGTATAATAACACTCTCCATTTCCCCTTCACCAGGCCCTGGTAACCACCATTCTGCTTCCTGTCTCTATGAATTTGACTACTTTATATAACTTCATATAAGTAGAATCATACACTGTCTTTCTGTGACTAGCTTAGTTCAGCCAGCACAATGTCTTCAAGGTCGTCCATGTTGTAGCATGTCTCAGAATTTTCTTTTTAAGGCTGAATAGTATTCCGCTGTGTGTGTACACACCACATTTTATTTATCCATTCGTCTGTCAGTGGGCACTTGGAGTGCCTCCGCCTCTTGGCTACTGTGAATAATGCTGCTATGAATGTGAGTGTGCAGACATCTGTTAATTAAAAGACCCTGCTTTTAATTCTTTTGGATATATACTCAAAAGTGGGGTTGGTGGATCATATGGTAATTCTATTTTTAATTTTTTAGGAGATGCCATACTGGATGCACCATTTTTATACATTCCTACCAACAGTGTACAAGGGTTCTGATTTCTCCAATTCTTGCAGACATTTGTTATTTTCTGTGGGCTTTTTTTCTTCTTGATAATAGCCATCTCTTTTTATGTTTGGTTTTTTAGTAGCCATATCCTTAATGGGTATAAGGTGATCTCTCATTGTGGTTGTGATTTGCATTTCTCTAATGATTAGTGGTTTTGAGCATCTTTTTATATACTCATTGGCCATTTGTATATCATGTTTGGGGAAATTGTCTATTCAAGTTCTTTTCCCATTTTTAAATCAGGTTATTTTTTGTTATTGGGTTGTAAGAGGTCTTTATATATTTTAGATATTGACCCTGTATCAGATATGCAATCTACAAATATTGTCCTATTCCATAGGTTGTCTTTTCACTCTATTGTGTCCTTTGAGCACAGATGATTTAAAATTTGATGTAGTCCCATTTGTCTATCTTTGTTACCTGTGTTTTTGGTAGCCATATCCTAGAATCATTGCCTAATCCTATGATTAGGCATGAAAATTTTCTCCTATGTTTTCTTCTAAGTGTTAATATTTTGGGGTCTTATGTTTATATTTTTAATCCATTTTCAGTTATTTTTTTAATACGGTGTAAGGTAAGGTCCAACGTCATTATTTTTCATGTGGGTATCTAGTTTTCCCAGCGCCATTTGCTGAAAGGCTATCCTTTGCCCGCTGAAAGGTGTTGGCACCCTTGTCGAAGATGCACTGGTAGGTTCTGGGGTCTCTGTTAAAAGTCAAGGCCTCCAGCTTTGCTCTTTTCCAGGATGTTTTGACTTCAGATCAGTGGATTAAAAAATTCTGTGGGTATTCAGGATAAATCACCGTGAAGCCATCCAGTCCTGGGCTTTTTTTTTTTAAATCCTCTCCTGAGGATGTTTACTGATTTTAGAGAGAAGGAGACAGAGAGAGAAACATCAGTGTGAGAGAGAAACTTCGATTGGTGCCTCTGGTACATGCCGACCGGGGACCGACTCCAGAGCCTAGGCACGTGCCCTGACCGGGGATCGGACTCCAGCCCTTTGGTGCACAGGCAACGCCCTGGCCAGCTGAGCCCCCGGCCAGGGCTGGATTGTATTGTTTTTCGGAGGGGGCAGCATAGGGAGGTTTTCAGTTACTCATTCAGTCTCCTTACCAGTTACGGATTTGTTCAGATTTTCTTTCTTCATGATCCAGTCTTGTTAGGTGGTATGTTCGTAAGAATTTATCAGTTTCTTCTGTTACCCAATTTGTTGGCAAGCAATTGTTTATACTATTCTCGTATGATACATTTTTTTCCTGTGGCATTAGCTGTAATGTCCCTTCTTTCATTTTTTAATATTAAGTCTCCTCTCCTTTTTTATTTTTTATTTTTTATTTTTTATAGTTAATCTGGCTAAGGGTTTGTCAATTTTGTGATCTTTTAAAAATACCAACTCTTAGATACTTTGATTTTTTTTCTATTTTCTCAATTTTGTTTATCTCTGCTCTAATCTTTATTATTTCCTTCTTTTTGCCAGCTTTGGATTGAGTTTGTTCTTTTTCTAGCTCTTTGAGGGATAAAGTTAGGTTGTTGATTTGAGAACTTTCTTTTTTAATGTGAGCATTTATAGCTATAAACTTCCATCTTGGTGCTACTTTTACTATATCCCGTAAGTTTCAGTATGTGTGTTTTCATTTTCATTTTCTCAAGATATTTTCTGGCCTACCTGGCACGGCTCAGAGCTTGAGCATCGACCTATGATCCAGGCAATCACAGTTCAGTTCCCTGTCAGGGCACATGCCTGGGTTGCGGGCTCATTTGGGGGCGATGACTCTCTCATCGTTGATGTTTTTACCTCTCTCTCCCTCCCCCTTCCTCTGTCTGAAATCAATAAAAACTTTTTTTTTAAGATATTTTCCGGTTTCTTTTGTGATTTCTTCTTTGACTCTGGTCATTTGTGTGTTATTTAATTTCTATAGATCTGGATTTTTCTAATTTTCCTTCTACTGTTGATTTCTAGTTTCTGTTCATTTTGATGATAAAAGATGCTTTGCATGATTTGAATTTTTAAGAATTTGTTAAGATTTGTTTTGTGACCTAACATGGTCTACCCTGGAGAATGTTTCATGTGCACTTGAGAAGCGTGTGTGTTTTTCTGTTGGTGGGGGAGTGTTCTATAGATGCCTGTTAGTTTCAGTTGCCTATTGTGTTGTTCAAACTCGCTGTTTCTTTATTGATCTTTCATCTGGTGGTTCTATCTGTTATTGAAAGTGGGGTATTGGAAGTGTCCAACTATAACAGTTCTGTCAATATTTGCTTTATATATTTGAGAATGCTGATGTTTAGCCTATAAATAGTTATAATTACAGTATCTTCCTGGTTAATTGACCCAATGTCATTTTTTGTGTCTTGTAACAGTGTTTGACTGAACGTTTCTTTTGTCTGATACTAATATAGCCATCCCTGCTCTCTGGGTTACCATTTACATGGAGTATCTTCTTCCATCCTTGCACTTTCAGCCTGATGGGGAAAGATTTATTATTGTCATTTTGTTATTTTTCTGTCTTGTAAGTTCTTTGTCCCTCCCTTACTCTCTAGCTTCCTTTGTGTTGTGTGGACTCTCACATTGATGTTTCTCTCTCTCTCTTACGCCCCCCTCCCTCCCTCCCTCCCTCTCTCTCTAAAAATCAATGGAAAAAATACCCCACCCCCACTTTATGTTATTGATGTCACAAATTGCATCTTTATCTATAATGTGTTAATTAACATAGATTTCTAGGGTGGTGTTTTTTTGTGTTTGCTTTGTGGTTTTTTGTACCTTTTTTTTTTTTTTTAAATATATCTTCATTGATTTCAGAGAGAGGAAGGGAGAGGGAGAGACAGAGATAGAAACATCAATGATGAGAGAGTCATTGATTGAGCCCACAACCCGGGCATGTGCCCTGACCGGGAATTCAACCCCGATCACCTGGATCCTAGGTCGATGCTCAACCGCTGAGCCACGCCCGGATTTTTGTACTTTTGCTCTTAGATTCTATACAGGAATTTGGGACATGCTGATCTCAAAGGAGAGGGAAAAAGAGTGATGGCAGAACTACTTAGTGGCTCTGGAAGCTTCTGGTCTGTCACCAGTCTGTGTTCCTCTGCTTTGAGAACAGCATGTCCCAAGTAGGAGCTGCTCTTCCAACCGCGGCTTCCCAGGTGTTGTGGCAGGGAGTACATCAGGGCCTGTAGAAATGGGTCCAGAGAGATGTAGTGAATATTTTCAAAAAAAGTCATACATTCTATCACAAGATATTAAGTGCAAGTGAAAACAGGAATATAAAGAATATTTAAAATTATGCTGTATGCAAAATTAAAATGGTTCCCTGCAGATGAAACACTTATTCTTTATGGAGCCATTAAGATTTTGTTATCTCCATATCCCAATAGATACCACCTCATGGAACAATTTTAGTAGTGGTATATTTACTTAATTCTTTCCTTAGAACCTCACTTTTATTGAAATGAGTAATTTTTGTCTAGGCGTCAGAAATTTGTCTGAAAAACTGGTTCTAGTTTTATACATTAGGACAATATAATTCAGGATATAGAATTTTACTTGTAGCACCCCCTGAGGAACATACATTGAGTGATATATATGTACATGCTGTTTGATGTTAACTAACACCCTTGAAAGTCTTAGCATCTGAAGTTTTGGCCTGCAGTACTTTGGCGTTACTGGGCACACATTTAGTCTACCATTTCAGGAGAGCGTTGCTTAGGCTAGGAGCCTAAGAATTAATCTAAAGCGTAATGTAAATGACACTATTGTGAGCCGCACTTGAATGGGTCCTTTATTTTTCTTAGGTATCTTAGTAGTGAAATGCCCCAAAGTACCTTCTCCTTTGAATTTTATTTCCTCTAGCTTCTCAAAGGGTTTATAAAGTTGTACTTCTTGACATTATTGACCAGTTTACTGGCCTTCCTTTCATTGAATGCCGGCTGGGTTATATCTGCCTACTAGTTACTTAGTTACCATGAACGCTTCACCAGCTCTGTGTCCTTACTAACCTGAGGCAGTAGAAAGATGGCATTTGTTCATTCCCTTTCTCATTCTTGACTGCTGGTTATTCTGTTACTGAGCAACCTAGGGTGTCAGGCCTGTGTGTGCACTGGGCTGGGGGCATCGGAGTTAATAAAGTCTTGTAAAGCTGTTTAGTCCCAAGAAGTAGAAGTGTTTTGTTTTGCTTTTAGGTTGTAGATAAGCTTCAAAATCAGATGTGTAGATATTAAAAACATAAATAAATCATTGTATTTAAAAGATACTTAATAGAATTAGGTAAGTAAAACTAGCCAGAGTGTATAGATGCACCCTGAATGGTGTATCTATCAGTCAGGATTCCACCTGATTGTAAACAATAGGGTCCTGACTATGGTGTAGTTGGACACTACAGGTTTTGTTTTCTTGCATGAAGAGAAGTCAAGATAAGTAGTTGTTGCCTTCATTTCTGTGTCTCAAGGAAATTTTCTATAGTTCTTTTGGCCTTTTCTTCATGGTTCCAAGATGGCTGCTGAAGCTTCAGCAAGCATGCCCGCATTCCAGGCAGGAGGAAGAATGGATAGAAGACTTTCCCTCCCATCTTATTGACCAAGAAAGACATATGGTTACTCTGGCTGCCAGGAAGTCTGGGATATGTCATAATTAACTGGGAGAATCACTACCTTCCATATTTGAGTTCTGATAGTAAGAAACAGGTGAATGGATATTGGGAAAGCAACAGCTCTGCTACAGATGAGATTTTCTTTTGATTTAAATATAAAATATCTAATGGTTTAAAATGTTCTAAAGTGAAACTAGAAAATAGTCATTGTTTTACTTAGATAACTGTATAATCTCTTTTTATATCTATAATGTTGTAATTGGGGAAAAATGGGAGATTTGCATGGTTTTTTTAGAATTATAGAAAGGCAGAAGAATGAAGTAAGTCATCTTAAGGCTCTGTATTGTTATGTTGTAAATTGAACTGAAAGTCATCTAAGGACATACTATTTCTGAATTTATGAAAATCAGGGAAACAGACTATTAAGAAATCAAATACTAACATTTAAAAATGTGGACCTTAGATCAGTTCTATGCTTTGAGAGTTGCACAGTGTATTTTCAATCTTCATAAAAGTCAGAGTTCCATGGGAATGCTTAATGCATTCATAACTTTTGTAAACATTCCAGTCATCTTTGCTCTTGAACTTCCTGTTCATTTACCCAGCTTATTTTCCTAGAAATATTTTTTTCTCTCAGTAATGAATAGCAGAATGTAGGCAGATGAAGCTGAGTTTTGCCAACCTACTTTTCTTAATGTAGAGGAATGTTTTTTCCAATTCTTGTTATAATTCTTAGTCCTCAAAATGCATAGGAATGCCAGGAGAGTTCTTTAAATGAAAAATGAGGTTTTTTTTGCTTTATATATTTTTGTAAGATGATCGTTTCTTACATACAGAAGTGATCATTTGGCTTCTTCTAGAATTTTTCTCTAAATATTACCAATGGTTCAAATAAAAGAAAAATGGTCTCACTTGGATTTCTTTCTTTTTCAATAAATTATGGTTGCAGACAGTGTCAGCCTACTGTGTCCCCACACAGTGAAACAGCTCCAATTCCAGTTCCTACTCAGATAAGGAATTATCAGCGCATAGAGCAGAACCTTACATCTACTGCCAGCTCTGGCACAAATCTGCATGGTTCTCCAAGGTAAGCTAGTATTTTTTTCCTTTCTAATCTCTTTTTCTTTTGTTTTAAAAATATTGAGGGTTCCAGTCAAGGTGGTGGCATAGGTAAGCGTGGTACTCAGAACCACATCAAAATTACTACTAAACTACAGAACAACCATCATTTAGAACCGCCTGAAATCTAGCTGAACATAAGTCCTATAACTAAGGATATAAAGAAGAAACCACATCAAGACTGGTAGGAGGGGTGGAGACACAGAATGTCTGGTCCCACACCCACGTGTGGCAGATAAAAATCAGGAGGGAGCCTGGCTGGCATGACTCTGTGGTTGAATTTCGACCTATAAACCAGGAGGTCAGGGTTTGATTCCCAGTTTGGGCATATGCGGGTTGCAGGCTTCATCCCCAGCATGCAGGAGGCAGCTGATCAGTGACTCTCTCTCATCATCAATGTTTTTATCTCTTCCTCTCCCCTCCTCTTTCTGAAATCAATTTTTTAAAAATTAAAAAAAAAAAATCAGGAGGGATATCTTGGCTGTGGAGGTCCCCTTGAGGAGTGAGGGGTCCCAGTCCCACACCAGGCCCCCCAGCCCAGAGTTCCAGTGCCAGGAAGAGAAGTGCCCATAACTTGTGGCTGTAAAAGCAAGCGGGGATTGTAGCTGAGTGAGATGGAGGCGGCTGGAATTCAGACAAGCAGCATCTGGCCTCTGCATACCCCATACCTCTTGCTATGTGGCCCTAGGCCCAGCACTAGCAGCAGCTGGCCTTGGTTTGCAGCTTGTCCTCTCCTGGGCACCTCCAAGCCTAGCACAAGTGACAGCCATCTGTCAATCATTTTGTAGCTTTTGCGGTTTGGCCCCAGGCAGAGCACAGGCAGTGGCTGACCCTTTACCTCCTGGGAGGCCGCAGAACCAGTGCACCCAGTGGACAGTTTCAGACCACACTGGATTATAACCCTACCACCTCCACAAGTGACATACTGAAGGGGCAGACTCGGTGAGCACCAAAACCCCACTGAAGCAAGTCCTGCTCTGTAAGATCGGCCTCTGTATAGCAGCTCCTCTGCTGTAGTCATAGCCAGTTTTCACAGCTGATCAGCTCGATGGTCAATTCTTCCTGATGATGCCAGTAGCAGTCAAGGCTCAACAATAACAGGACAGTACACACAGCCCACATAGGGGAGCACTTGCAGGGTCCAGTTTGGGTGACCGGGGGTGCTGTGCCACTGGGCCCTACAGAACACCTGCTACATAAGGCCACTCCACCAAGTCCGGGAGACATAACTCTACCTAATACATAGAAACAAACACAGAGAAGCAGCCAAAATGAGGAGACAAAGAAACAAGTACCAAATGAAAGACCAGGAAAAATCTCCAGAAAAAGAACCAAATGAAGCAGAGGGAAGCAAACCACCAGATACAGAGTTCAAAGCAGTGGTTATAAGGATGCTCAAGGAACTTAGTGAGAACTTCAGCAGCATAAAAAGGACATGGAAACCATAAAAAAAGAACCAGTCAGAAATGAAGGATATTCTAACTGAAATGAAGAATGAATTACAGGGAATCGGCAGTAGAATAGATGAAACAGATTTATGTCAGCAGTTTGGAATACAAGGAAGCAAAAACCAATCAGAACAGTAAAAGAAAAAAGAATCCAAAAAAAATGAGTGTAAGGAGCTCCTGGGACAACGTCAAGTGTACCAACATTCACATCATAGGGCTGCCAGAGAAAGAGAGCAAGACATTGAAAACCTGTTGAAAAAAATAATGTCTGAAAAATTCTTTAACCTGGTGAAGGAAATAAACATACAAGTCTTGGACGTGCAGAGAGTCCCAAACAAGATGAACCTAAAGAGGTCCACACCAAGATACATCATAATTAAAATGGCAAAGGTTAAAGACAGAGAATCTTAAAGGCAGTAAGAGAAACGCAGTTAGTTACCTTCAAAGAAGTTCCCATATTAAGACTCTCAGCTGATTTCTCAACAGAAACTTTTCAGGCCAGAAGCAATTGATGAGAAATACTCAAAGTGATGAAAAGCAAGGACCTACAACCAAGATTACCCAGCAAAGCTATCATTTAGAATTGAAGGACAGATAAAGAGTTTCCCAGACAAGAAAAAGCTGAAGGAGTTCATCACTAACGGGCCAGTGTTACAATAAATGTTAAAGGGTCTTCTTGAAGAAGAAGAGCCCAGTGGGTGTGGCTCAGTGGTTGAGCATCAACCTAGGATCCAGGAGATTGAGATTCAGTTCCCGGTCAGGGCATATGCCCAGGTTGCGAGCTTGATCCCCAGTGGGGGGCGTGCAGGAGGCAGCCGATCAATGACTCTCTCATCATTGATGTTTCTGTCTCTCCCCTTCTCCCTTCCTCTCTCTGAAATCAATAAAGACATATTTAAAAAGAAGAAGAGAAAGATAAAAAATACAAATAATAAATGACCATAAAAAAGGAATGAAATCTTACCATTTGCAGCAGCATGGATGGACCTAGAGGGTATTGTGCTGAGTGAAATAAGTCAGTCAGAGAAAGACTTATGTGGATTCTTAAAGAACAATATAACCAAACAAACAAAACAGAAACAGGCTCATAGATACAGAGAACAGATTGATGGTTGGCAGAAGGGAGGCGGTTGGGGGACGGGTGAAAAAGGTGAAGGGATTGAGAAGTACAGACTGGTAGTTACAGAATAGTCATGGGCATGTAACATACAGCACAGGGAATATAGCCAATAATAGTGTAATAAGTATGGTGCCAGGTGGGTACTGCAAATGTCAGGGGGAACACATACAAAATAATGTAAACTGTGATTTAAAAACAAAATTTTTATTAAAAATATTTGTTTTTGTTGTTGAAAGACCTTTTACTTTCCATAGCCAACTTTGTCCCTTATGTATGTGTACAGGGTGGGGCAAAATAGGTTTACAGTTGTTCATATGGACAATAATTAATAATACAAGAATAAGCTCAGTGTTTCGTGTACTCACAGCTGTAAACTTACTTTTGCCCCATTCTGTATTGATGGTGGTGTACAAAATGGTACAAAAAATGGAACAAAATTTTTTTTTCTAATGGATCTATTTAGATGATATTTAAGCTTGGCTGAATAATATATGTATATATTTGTTCACAAATATAATAATTATTTTGAAGAATTGAGGAAAATGTGTTAAAAATGGAATCCCACCAGCCCTAGCAGATTATTTATATATTATTTATTTCTCCTACATCCTGAACCCTCACTAAGGTAGCAAAGAAATGATGATAATGTAAGTCCACAAAGAGACGTATAATAAGAATACACCCTGGCCCATGTTGCTCAGTGGTTAGAGCGTCGGCCTGTGCACTGGAGGTACATAGGTTCGATTCCCAGTCAAGGGCAGGTACCTGGGTTGCAGGTTTGCTCCCTGCGCATGCAGGAGGCAACCAGTTGGTGTGTCTTTCTCACATCATTGTTTCTCTCTTCCCTCCTCCACTCTCTGAAAAGCGAAAGCAATGGAAAAATATCCTCATATGAAGATTAACAAGAAACACACAACATAAATAAAAAGAGCTTCCTCTCTCCGAAAGCGGCCAGAGGTACTCTCTGAAAATGGTTCACTATTCACTTGACCCAGAAAACCACACAAAATCATGCAAATCAAGAGGTTCAAATCTTCGTGTTCACTTTAAGAACACTCGTGAAACTGCCCAGGCCATCAAGAGTATGCATATTCGAAAAGCTACCAACTATCTGAAGGATGTCACTTTACAGAAGCAATGTGTGCTATTCTGTCGTTACAATGGCAGAGTTGGTAGGTGTCCCCAGGTGAAACAATGGGGCTGGACACAGGGTCGGTGGCCCAAAAAGAGTGCTGAATTTTTGCTGCACGTGATTAAAAACACAGAGAGCAATGCTGAACTTCAGGGTTTAGATGTAGATTCTCTGGTAATTGAGCACATCCAGGTGAACAAAGCTCCCAAGATGTGATATAGAACTTACAGAGCTCATGGGCGGATTAACCCATACATGAGTTCTCCCTGCGACATTGAGATGATCCTACTGGAAAAGAGCAGATTGTTCCTAAGCCAGAAGAGGAGGTTGCACAGAAGAAAAAGATATCCCTGAAGAAACAAAAACTTATGGCCTGGGAGTAAATTCAACATAAAATAAATACTAATAAAAGTAAAAAAATAATAATAAAATTTTTTAAAAAGTGAAATAAGAATAACTATTCAGTGGGTGAGAGATTTCAATAAATTTCTGGGCTACAGAAAGAGAATGGAAGATGGATGCCTGCTGTAGCAGGGCAGGCAAAAAGTGTGTGATCAGAGATTCTGATGAGAGCAGCTGCCCCATGGTAGTACCCTTTCCCTTAGAGGCTGAAATCTCAGAGAACTCAGATGGAGTGGAGAGGTGAAAGTAAAGCCTATGGCTAGAAATAGGAAAAATAAATCTGAAGGAAATTGTAAGAATGCAAAGAAAAGAAACTCATTTAAAAAATTAGTACCCTTAGAGAAAGGTTAGAGACTGCATCCATAAATAAGAATGAAATCCTATTGAAAAAAATCAAAATAAAGAAGACCTCTTGGACATTACAAAAATATAACTAAAATAAGTGTTGGAAAACAAAATTGAGGAAGTGTCTGAAATAGGTGAATCAGATAAAGCCGGAAAATATAAATGAAAAATATTCTTCAAGGCTTAATTGATACAGGTATTCCAGAAAGAAGAAGAAAATGATGAGGAAGAAAATTTCTAGGAAATAATAAGAAAAATTTTTCCAGAATTGGAGGATACAAGATTTTAGATTAAAAGGGCCCAAGTAAATAGCTCAGTGAGTGGAAAGTGACCCTCACCATCTCGAAGGATTAAATTGAGAAAACTTCCACGAAGGGCATTTGACAATACCTGTGAAAATTATTAATGCATAAAGCTTAACCCAGCACTTGAACTCCTGATAGCATATTCTACAGACCCCAGTCCTTCCTGTGTACGAAACTGCATGTGTACAAAGTTGTCATAGCACAGGAGAAATAAGCCAAATGCCCACCAGCAAGGGACTGATTTATTACAGTTTATCTCTGACAATCAAACTCTTTCCCCAAAAAGCAGTTCTCTGTGTACTGAGACAGAATAATTTTGAAGGTATGTTATAAAATGAAAAAGCAAAGGTGATCAGCAGGTATTGGCAATGGTCTCAAAGTGTGGTTTGTGGCTCCCTTTTCAGCGTGTTTGTGTGTGCTCTGGTAGCGCAAAAGCAGTGATGGAAAAACGGCTGGTGCCTTAAAGTGCCTCAGGGTGGTGGCCCCCAACTGTGCTGTTAGTCTGTGTTCTGTACTGTCACACACTTGCGGCACCAAGAAATGTCTTTAGTGAAGCAGTAAAAATTACTGTTTTTCTTTGAAAATCTTAGCCTTGCGTGTGGAATGTAGGCATAAAGCACTTTTGCTGCACATTGAGTAGTGGTCTTAGGAAAAGCACTTGTATGATTGTTTCAGTTGCAAGATGAACTAGCCACTTTTCCATGGAACACCATTTTTACTTGAAAGAACAAAACTATGATTATGGGTATTTGGCAGACATTTTGTCAGAAGTGAACTAAGTCTGTCATTTCATAGAAAACAAGCGACATTAAATTTGAGCTCCTGAGCCAAAATTAGTATTTTGGAAAACTTGTATTCACCACTGTGATCTTGATGGCTTCTGTTATGTCTTGACAGCCATTTCTGTTAAGACTGATGGTCCTGTTTTGATATGAATGTGACTTTTTGATACTGTATAATGTGTCAACATTTGGAATATCTGCTTAACTCATTCAACCAATATTTTCTAAGTGACCAAATGTTTAAAAAAATTATGTATAGATGAAAGATCCATTCCAAAGGCAAGATATTTTGCAAAAGAATGGATTTAAGGTAATAGTACATAATTTCTCTGACTTGGTTTCCAATTCCACGCTGTGACTCAGCTTTCAGAAATGACCACATGCTGAGTTTTTGTGTAGTATCGAAGAGAAGTGTTTGAAAAGGCTACCAAAATATTTCTCCCCTTTCCAGTTATATATCTGTAAGTCTGGGTTTCCTTCACATACTACACCAAAAGTAACACGTTACACAGATTGAATGTAGAAATAGGTATGAGAACCCATCTGTCATCTATTCAGCTAGACATTAGAGATTTGCAAAACTGAAAATAAAGTCGCGCTTCTCACTTATTTTGGAAAATAAAATTATTTTTCATAATTATGTTACCTGTAATAAGTTTATTTTTAATGAATTACAAAAATTTCTGGATGTTTTGTGTGTGTTTTTAATCCTCACTCGAGGATATTTTTTCAACTGCTTTTCAGAGAGAGTGGAAAAGAGAAAAGCATTGATGTGAGTGAGACACATGGATTGGTTACCTCCTGCATGTGCCCCAACAGGCTGGGGATTGAGCCTGCAACCGAAGTACGTGCCCTTGGCCAGAATCAAACCCAGGACCTTTCAGTCTGCAGGCCGACACTCTAACCACTGAGCCAAACTGGCTAGGGCCAAAAATTTGTCTTAAATTATAATACAGTAAATATCAACTTGTTTATTACATGAACAATATTTCTCTGGGATCTTCAGTAATTTTAAGAGTATGATGGGGGTCCTGGTTGGTCTGTCTCAGTGCTTAGAGCATCAACCTGCACACCAGAGGGTCATGGGTTCGATTTCCAGTCAAGGGTACATAACTGGGTTGTAGGTCTGATCCCTGCCCCAATCAGGGCACAGATGGGAGGCAACTAATTGATGTGTCTCTCCCACATCGATGTTTCTCTCTCCCCCTTGCCCCTCCCTTCCACTCTCTCTGGAATCAATAGAAAAAATATCCTCACTCCTCAGGTGAGGATTTATTTATTTATGCTTTTGGGGTTTTTTTAATGTTTTTTAATTGATTTCAGAGAGAGGAAGGGAGAGGGAGAGTGATAGAAACATCAGTGACGAGAAACAGTTGTTGGTTGGCTGCCTCCTGCACGCCGGCCCTTACGGGGGATCAGGCGTGTGCCCTGACCCGGAATCAAACGCAATCTCCTGGATCATAGGTTGATGCTCAACCGTTGAGCCACACCAGCTGGGCTTAGGTAAGAATTTAAAAAAGGAAAAGAAAAAAGTATAATGGAGACCTGAGACCCCCAAAATTGAAAATGGTTGGTATATATAACATTATCTTTGTTAAAACAAGACGAAAGTATGATTATATAGTGGCTTTTTAAACAACGCAGGGCTTAGGGGCACCAATACCCTGTGCAGTCGAAAATTCAGCTTCCCCAAACCTTAGCTACTAGTAGCCTACTGTTGACCAGAAGCCTTACCGGTAACATAAACGGCCAGTTAACACATATTGTGTTTATTGCATGGATTATATACTGTATTCTTACTATAAATAAGCTAGAGAGAAGAAAATATTAAGAAAATCATAAGAAAGAAAAAATACATTTACAGTATCTATTGGAAAAAATACATATAAGTGGACTCACTCGGTTCAGACCTGTGTTGCTGAAGCTGCCAGCTGTATTTGCAGCTTTGGGTTTGCCTTTGTATGAATGAGGAACTTGGGAAGGACATTAGAAACTGAAAGTAGCGGTAACCTTTTTAATGTGATGGAGGGGGTGCTGAGAATGAGGTAGACAGGACACGAGGATGAGAGGGAGACTTCGCTGTACAGTTTTATACATTTTATATTTGTTCATGTGACTGTTATGGATTTTTAAAAAATATACTCCGTGGCATATTTCTAGGACGTTTTAGGAAAAAAGACAAAAATAGAGAGTCCTAGAATCTGTCAGAGAGGGAGTCATTTTATTTTTCTTCTCAGATCTGCAGTGGTACGAAGGTCCAACACCAGCCCTATGGGCTTTCTCCGGGTGGGATCCTGCTCCCCAGCGCCAGCAGACACAGTGCAGACAGTCGGACGAAGACTCTCTACGGGGTCTTCCAGGCCTTATTCACCTTCCCCTTTGGGTAAGAGTTTAGAGCAGTTGTTTTCAACTGTTTTTCACTGTAACAGATCTGACAAGACACTCTCTTTAGGAACATTGGCTTACGATGGCAGTGAGCCTCAGCTGATTGGGAATCCTGTCCCATCCCTCCGACTACTCCCTACTACCTCTTGAGAAGCTCTGGCTAAATCTGTTAGGATGTCTACTGGAACTATAATAATGATTAAAGTACATAAAATGCCCACCCTGCTCGCCACTCAGCTCTCTGAGGTTGAGAAGACAGTAGTGTACATAGCAAGCAGCACTGTGTTGCGTCTGGCAGAGGTCTGACAGCTCTGGGAGAGACGTGGTGGCAGCTCCGTGGGAAGTCTCCCAACTCTCCTGGAACTGTATACAGCAACAAGGAAAATGCTAAGATAAGGCCAAAGGCAATAGTGAGGCAACAGCAACAGCAAAACCCCAACCAAACCTAAAAACTTCAAAGCACAGTTTTAGTGAAACTAAGAGACAAAGAAAATGCTTCAACTCAATACACATGAGAGAGGCCAGAGCAGCAGATTGCAGAATGTGTGAGAAACAGCGTTGGTGTGGTGGGGAAGAAAAGGCAGTGCAGAGAGGGCCTGAGGCGGCAGATTTCAAAACTGCAAAATATGCACACACGTACACACCCCTGAAAGGAGAGGGCAGCCACCCTCCCCCAAGACTGCTGCAGCGCTCAGGATGGGAAGGAATCTTGGGAGGAGGCAGAGTGAGCAGCACAGTGCCCAGCAGCCCTGATTTCAAAACAAAACCACAGTGATAATTTTTGTTTTTTTAATGTTTATATCACCACCTCACCTGTTGCAATGGTTTTGAAGCTGTTTTTAGCTGAAAAATTTTTTTAAACAAAATCTTGGCCTTCCTTCACACACAACCCTTCGCCCCCGCAGCTCCTGAGGCATTCCAAGGTCTCCAGAGACAAGTTTCAAAACTTACCTTTGAGCTCAAAGAAAAGGCTCTTCCCAGGCTCTAACCTTTGCCTGCCTCCTAACCAGTTGGTCAGTGCCTCTTCCTTTTTGTAGACATATGTACTTTTGTCTACTTAAAGTCCTGAAGTCTTCCCCAGCTCTCCTTTTTATTGATTTGGGTTCTTAGAGGTACATGCAAAGAAGGTAGATGCAGAGATGTGCAAGAGAAGTTGGGGAGACACTTGTCATGGATAAAGGGAAGAAGCAGGAGTCAACAGGGAGCCCCTTGAGACAGCCATGCAGGTGTGACCCTGTGAGGGAGAAGGAAGGAAGGGGAGTCCTGACTGGAGTGAGGTCTAAGACTTCAGGCTGAAGGAGTGTCCCCAAGCACTGAGTTTTCCAAATTTCCTGACCTGCTTGAATAGGCCTGAATTAATACCTTGACCATATGTGACCAATGGCTGGGGAGCCCTGGAGAGCATGCCTCAGCTGGAACGAGGTGGATTCAGTGGGACAGCAGCTGGGCTGTCAGCTGCACAGGCCCCAAACTATATACAAACTCTTTGTAATTTTGTCTTAACGACATACCTGTTATAGGCACTGATTTGTTTACGTGGCTTTTTTCCTACTGCTCTTGTTTTAAGACTATGGGTGCTTTTGATTCTAGTGTGCCCCGCACCCAGCACATTGATGCTTGGTGTTAGCTGAGCCAAATGTGTGCTGATTAAACTTTGTAAACTAAAATGCATGTGCAGGTTGTACGTATACTGCTTGTCTCCATTCCTCACGGGTTTTTAATCATTCCTCTTTCCGTCCCACTCCCTCTTCACAGTTGGTGCCATTCCTGAGCAGTTCAGTCAGTGCTGCTGTGGGTACTCTCAGGGCCATGAGGAATCCAGGAGGAGAAACTCATCTGGTAGGGGATATATTTGACATATTGATAATTTCATTTGCATTTGAGTCCTGTTTTTCTAGTCCTATCAAAAGAACAGAATTTGTGTGAAATGTTTTCTAATGCTATCCTGTTTTTTAGAATCTTGTTCATTATGTTTCAGCAATCAGCCAATCGAATATCCCTTTTTGGGTATATCATTCTTTTATGAAAAATAAATCTTAGGAATTAAGTAACTTAGCTAAATTTTGGTCATTGTCACACAAATAATGAAAATCAATCTAGGAGATGGAATTTCGTTACTTTGATTAATACTATTCTTGATAAGAACTACCAGTTATCATCAAATAAAAAAGAAATGTAGTTATTTATTTGCTTTATTATGTACCATGTATGCGTCCAGAGATATATGTAAATCATATTTTTTTAAGTCAAATCTTATTGTATGTGCATTTGAGGAGTTGGCCAGTTAAAGGAATTGTGTTACTTGAGAAGGCATAAAACTTAGCTTTCTCCAGATCATAACACTTAGCCACAAATTTTATTTATTTGTGTGCATATGTATTGTGTATGTATATACAAATATATACATGCGTATATATGTGTGTGCCTGTGTTTGTGTTTGGCAGAACCCAGTTCTGGAAGGTTAAATATCAAATTCAGGATGAGATTAAGCCAGGAGTGGTCAGTGGCAAAAGCTCCTATTGGTGTCTGTTTTGGGGAAGATGATGGTTATATCACTAGGAAGATTTGTATGTTCTTAATGGTATCAGTGGTAGTTTGGCTTAAAGAAGTGCCAAAGAATTTGTAAGTGGAGCTCAAGGCTTAGGTAGACCTTAAGTTGGCAACAAGGTTTATGTAGGTGAATTCCCAACTGCTCAGCATATCGAGACTGTCTCTCAGGCTCTCGATAATGGTCCCCTTAGAGTCAAGAATATCTGTGGACAGGTATTTTCTTTGAAGAGAATGTGGATACTCCATGTTTTAAATGAATTTCATTAGTGAAATTGATAATATAAATTATCCATAAGCTTGTTCTTTTTTTAAAAAAGATTTTTTATTGATTTTTAGAGAAAGAGGAAGGGAGAGAAACATTGATGTGAGAGCGATACATGGATTGGCTGCCTCCTGCACGCCCCCTGTTGGGGATGAGCCCACAACCTGAGCATGTGCCCCGGCTGGGAATCAAACCAGCAGCCTTTCAGTGCACTGGACAGTGCCCATCTAGCTGAGCCACACCAGCCATGGCGATGAGCTGCTTGTTTTTATTTAATTTATTTATTTTAATCCTCACCTGAGGATATTTTTCCATTGCTTTTCAGAGGGGGGGAGGGGAGAGACATCGATTGGTTGCTTCCTGCACGTGCCCTGACTAGGGCCGTGGATTGAGCCTGCAACCAATGTGTGTGCCCTTGACCAGGAATTGAACCCAGGACCCTTTAGTCCTTGGGCCGATGCTCTAACCACTGAGCAACCGGCCAGAGCAAGCTTGTTGTTATTTTTAAACAAATAAAATCCAGGAAAGGTGTATTATCTAATTCTCTTTCTTACACTTTATATATTTTAAATAAGGAATTATTCTGGGTTAATTTGAAAAATTTATTTTAGTTGTGATGTGAGAAAAGGGAATAATCACATTGCTAAACCCAAGTATGTGTTTATGTAAAGGGTAGAAGTCATCTTGTTCGTTGTAGGTTTTTGTTGTTTTCATTAACCTGAACCATTTATTATACAGTTCTCTTTGGTCCTAATTAGACCTTGCATTAATCTGAGTTATGTGGTAGCTGCTGATAAACAGCTGATACACCCGTTATCCAGTTCCATGTCCTGAGAGTACCAGTGACGGATGTTCTTGTCACTGTAAAGTATGCCAAAAAATAGTCTCCTGCCAATAAACACTTTAAGAATATCTCACGAAAAATAAGACATTCACTGGAATTCTCATTTTAAGAATTGTGTTCTGAATTTTTATATTTCTGCCATGTACGTCTTCCCATTGGGCTAACACTGCATCCGTTTTCTCGGTAGGTTCTTCAGTGCCGCAGGCTCAGTCACCACAGTCTTTCTTACTGGGTGCTCGACTGCAGAGTGCCCCCAGCCTCACTGACATCTACCAGCACAAGCAGAAGCTCAGAAAGCAGCACTCTGACCCTGTGTGCCCGTCCCACACTGGGGCTGGGGGCAGCCACTCCCCTCAGCCCAGTCGGCCTGGCAGCCTGGGGACTTCTCCCACCAAACACATGGGGTCCTCTCCGCGGAGTTCTGACTGGTTCTTTAAAACCCCTTTGCCTACCATCATTGGCTCTCCCACTAAGGTGTGTTTATTAAGCCCTTTGTAAGTACCTAAGTCTTTGTTAATTTAACATTTGCAAAGTGGAGCATAGGCTGCGGATAGAGTGCCAAGTTCAGCAACAGACCACAGAGGATTTGAAACAGAGGTCTTTACTCACAGGCCCTGAAAGAAATGCCCTGCACACCTTGGGGCGGGGGCACACAGGGATGTCAAAACAGGAAGCAGACAGGGAGAGACAGGATCTGGGCGCATGCCTTTATTAGGGTTCATGGGTAGAGTGTTTCGGGGTCCCTGGCTAAGGCTGGATTGGTCGATTCAAACCAAAAGAGCAGGGTTCTGGTAAGCTCCATGGGGCCTTATCTAAGGTGTGCACAGGAGGGAGATCCTGGGAAGTGCGGTGTTACATCAGGAGCTTACGTTTGCTCCTGACGCCGAGGGCTGCTATCTGGAGCCTGCACTTGCAGGGGGTGAGTGTCAGTTTAAGGTTCCTGAGCCCACTTGGCCAAACAGAATGGATGCTGAGGCGGCAGTACCGTGTAGTAGCTTAGTGAACTCCGTGCAGTAGGTCATGAGCTAGTATAGTAAGGACTTTATGGAAAGGACTTAGGATAAGAATAGCTACAATTTATCAAGCACTTGGGATGTGCCAGGCACAGCGTAGGTCCTTTACTTGATGAATGCTTTATGTATGTTACCCCACTGAGTTGTGCATGGTCATAGAGGCTGTAAGGAGGAGAGCCAGTGTTTGAGTCCAGGTCTACGGACTGCAAGGGAGTCTGTGCTCCTGGCTGCTGGGCCATGCAACCTGACAGCACTGAATGCTTTACATACACATCATAATAACCAGCCCACATATGTTTCTTTAGGCCACTGCTCCTTTCAAAATCCCCAAAACACAAGCATCTTCCAACCTGCTAGCCTTGGTTCCTCGTCATGGGCCTTCGGAAGGGCAGTCTAAAGATGGGAATACCCCGCGCGAATGCTCTCACTGCCTCTTAGTACAAGGAAGTGAGAGGCAGACGTCTGAGCAGCAAAACAAGGCAGTGTTTGGCAGGTAAAAGACACCGGGCCCTTCAGCTTTGAACGTGAAAGCTGTAATGTACATATATTTCTGTTATAAAACCAACCAGACCAAATTAGTTTAACAGCTGGATATGAACTGTATATGTTTAGAATCTCTGAAAACCATAGATGCTTCCTGTAACTATAAATACAGAGCTCTTGCTGAATTTCCTGAATATCTATTTCTGCCTTTTGTTTATTTTTGTTAATGAAGTTTATCTCTACCTTGAATTGTTTGGCATCTACTTTTTGTCTCCTTGTTCTCTGACTTCCCACTGACCCTTTTATGGCTTGGCTTACATCCTTACTATGCAAATGTATGGATTTTTTAAAAGTGTACTTTTTGTTATTAACATGACTCTTCTTTTCAGATCTGTCAGTACTGGGAAATTATCTGATCAACAAGTAAAGACACCTCTAGGTGGACATCAGGGCAGCACAGACAGTTTAAATACAGAACGACCAATGGATATAGGTAAGAAAAACCTGTTTGTTTTCAGGGGACAGGGAGCAGGTAATTTGTTAGCATCTGCATTAATTTCCTGTTGCTGCTGTAACAAATGACCATAAGCTAAAAACAACATCCATGCATTATCTTACAGTTCTGGAGATCAGAAGTCTGGGCTAGTCAGGTGCTAAGGTGCCTGCCGCGTTCCTCCTGCAGGCTCTGGGGAGAACGCATTTCTTTGCCTCCCCCAGCTTCTAGAGACTGTGTTCATCCTTGGTGCTGCCCCTTCCATCCTGAAAGTCAGCAGTGGCCGGTCTAGGTTCTGACCTGCCTCCCTTGTGATTACATTGGACCCATTGTGTAACCCAGGACTATTTATTTTAAGGTCTGTTGATTCGCAACTCTAGTTCCATGTGCCACTTTAACTTCCTTTTGCCACATAGCGTGGCCTATTTAAAGGCCCCAGGGGTTAGGACATGTCATCTTTGGCTGGGGCTGGAGGTAACTGTTCTACTCACCTGCTTCTGGTGATTGAGAATGAACTTACTGGCCTAGATTTCTTCATCCTGCGCCTGCCATTCCATCTTTCTCAGTAGCCCATTAAGATGGGCTTGTTCCATATCTTGATGATCAACAGCTTGTGAATTAGAAGGAATTCTGACCAAGGTTATTTTTTATCAGTAGGATAGTACTGACTAAATTTAGGCTAACCACACATTTCTTATGCAGCAAGTAGATCCTCTAAAGAACCGTAGGTCCCTGAGCTTCTTGGCCATTTCAGAGTTGTTCCAGGGACTGTTATGTCTATAAATGCACATCTGTATTACTTGGACTGCTTGTCAAAAAATAAAAACAAGGAAGATTCTAGACCCTAACCCCAACTTGTTTAATCAGACTTTCTGGCAGTGGATTCTAGGAGTCTGTATCTTTAATAAGCTCCCTACATGTTTACCAAGTACACTGAAGTTTCAGAATCACAAGTCATAACTATTGTCCAGCCAGTGTGGGTCAGCAGTTGAGCATCGGCGTAGGATCCAGGAAATCAAGGTTCGATTCCCGGTCAGGGTACATGCCTGGGTTTCGGGCTCAATCCCCAATCAGGGCGGTGCAGGAGGCAGCTGATCAATTACTCTCTCATCACTGATGTTTCTGTCTCTTTCCCTCTCCCTTCCTCTCTCTGAAATCAGTATAGACTTTTTTTTTTTTAAATCATAATTATTAATTAAGATGTTTACACAGGAGTAAGAAATGTGTCAACATACAGTAGTGGCTCAACTCCCCATTCTCTTTAATAGCTCAGAGTTTTTACTATTTTACACACCTTTAAGCATGCCAAATATATAGAGCTAGTACAGGAACTTGAAGCCACAAAGAATTTCTGAGAATTGGTTTCCTCTGGGGCCAAGGTCTCATGACCTAGGAGCTGTGACATGGGAACCAATGGCAGAGGTCTCTTGTGACACAGTATAATTTTTTAATTGACTTTCCCATGAGCATCTGAAGGGGCAAATATCTAGACTAGCAAATAACTGATTGAACATGATCTCTAATCCGAAGGGAATATTGTGTTGTAAGACTTACTGTTTCACTCCACTTGCTGCTTGCTTGCATGGTTCTGAAGAGAAGTCTGCTGTAATTCTTATCCTGCTCCTCTGCGGGTGAGGGTGTTTTTCTCTCCCAGCTTCTGATGTTCCTACTGTGCATGTTACTCGTTTGTAGTCGTCCTGCAGTTTCTCAGATATTCCGTAGTTTTTGTTTCTGTTCTTTCATTCTTCTTTCTCTCTGCTTTTCAGTTTTGGAAGTTCCTGTTGACAGATCTTAGAGCTGATTCCTCAGCCATGTCAGGTCTGCCTACGAGCTCTTCAGATGCATTGTTCGTCTGTTACAGTGACTTTGACTTGGGGGCGTTCCCTTTTTATTCCTTCTTAGTTGCCATCTCTCTGCCTATGTTGCCCATCTGTTCTTGCATATTGTTTACTTTTTCCGGTATCTGCACTATACCTGAGTCTGGTTCTGATGCTCACTCTATCTCTTCAAACTGCTTTTACCTGTTAGCTTGCCGTTTAATTTTTTGTTGAAAGCCAGACATGATGCACTAGAGAAAAGGAATTGAGTTAAATAGTGTGAAGTTTTTTGTTAATCTAGCTAGGAGTTAGGCTGTTTAGTGTTTGCTGTGGCTATAGGTTTTTATGAACCCGTTTTTCTGCTGTTAATTAGATGCTTTGAGTTTGTTATGCTCTGTTGCAGAGAAGATGGACACATCAGTGTCTCTCATTTAAATTTATGGTCTATGTTGTTAATTCCTGCCTCCATTCTGTGATCTCAGAACTGTAATGTTTTTCAGATGCTTGAGTGTGAAAACGCTTTGGACAAGTTTTCTTGATTCTGCTTAGTTTGGTGGATGGGAGATTTTTCACCTTCTCTTCATTTAGCCCAAGTTCAGCCCATCAGGCCCCTTTGACACCTGTCCCAACTCCCTTTCTTCCTGGCGGTTGTGAGTGTGTGATCCTAAGGCTTAATATTTGTATACTTTGACTCAATTTTCAACATCCATCTACAGCTCTGTTGCTATGGAGACTCCTGATCCCCTTCAGCTTTACCTCAAATTTTTATTCCCTGTTCTTGGTTTCCACTTTTTCAAATTATCCTCAATAGGTGTGACTGCAGTTTTTGTTGTTGCTGCTGTTTTAATCCTCACCTGAGAATATGTTTTTATCGCTTTGGTTTTTTTTTTTGAGAGAGAGAGAGAGGGAGAGAAACATCGATGTGAGAGAGAAACATCAAGTGGTTGCCTCCTGCATACGCGCCCCTACCAGGGATCGAACCTACAACCTTTTGGTGTGTGGGATGACACTCTAATCATCTGAGCCACCTGGCCAGGGCCAATTCTTATATTTAAAAAAATTTTTTTTGTTAATTCTCGCCTGAGGATATTTTTCCTATTGCTTTTCAGAGAGAGTGGAATGGAGGGAGATGGGAGGGGAGAGAGAAACAGTGATGTGAGAGAGACACATCAACTGGGTGCCTTTTGCACACACCCCAACCAGGGGCAAGGAGTGAAAGACTGCAACCCAGGTACCTCCCCTTGACTAGAACCGAACCCACAACCCTTCGGTGCTCGGGCTGACGCTCTAACCAGTGAGCAACGCCGGCCAGGGCCAGTTGATGTATTTTTAAGTATAAAGAACTAACTGAGCACTAGGCTTTGGTGTGAAGAGGAGTCATAGCCATGAAGAGATTACTATAAAATATTTTAATGGGTATCTGTATTGAAAGCTTATTGTAAAAAAAAGAAACTTAGTATAAAAGTAAAGGTTCCCCTATAATCCCACCCCCAAATATAAACATTATCAAAGTAAAGTAACTTCTTGTAACTTTCTGTGGCAGCCCCTGCAGGAGCCTGTGGTGGTGCACTGGCGCCTCCCGTGGGAATAGCAGCAAGTTCCAGGGCTGTCCTGTTCACTGTGGGATCTCCTCCCCACAGTGCCACAGCCCCCACTTGTACCCACATGGTCCTACGAACAAGGACAACCTCAGGTGAGGAATTGTCTTGCTACAATCTTTGGCTTGTGTTTGGAGTATAGTGTCCGGATAATGACTTAGTGGTGTAACTTAACTAAATCATTTAATGTCTCTGGAATTCAGTTTTTCTTTCCAATCCATAGAAATAACTATTTTCTTTACCTTAAAGGGTTATAAGGAATAAATGAGGCAATATTTGTGGGGGGAAAAACCTTTATAAAACAAAAGCCTTACATTACATATTTGTAATGATATGTAATATTATAGCATTAGACTATAAGTATGACTTTCGATGATGAAGCAGCTGTGCATATATGATCTTGCATATACTGAAGGCTTATTTTAGTACATCCAGTGAAGTTTTTAAAAATGATAGGTTGTTGTTTATCTTTGTTTTGTTTATTTCACAGCCTAAGTTTTACATTTGTTTTTGTACTTTGGTTCCCGATCTTTGCACTTAATCCTATATACATTTAGACAGGCTAATAGATTGGTTTTATCATTCATACTCTATAAATAGGTTATTAATACTAACACTTAAGAAAGTATTTAGATTGGACGTGGGATGAGAAATCATTTGACATTACTTCATATATTGCACTGTGTCATTTAAGTTCTCATATGCTAAATAAGGTACTAATCAAGATTCAGTAGATCAGCAGAGGATATAAATAGATAACAAGAGAGCAATGAGAGCTAATGATCTTGTTTTTAAGATTTTAAAAGCATTAAGTAATAATAAAGTAACATTTTATACCTATTATCTAAACCAGTATTTAAAACAGTAGAATATCCAGTGTTGTTGAGGTTAGCGGGCTCTGTGTGCTGGCTCACAGCAGCTTTAGAAAGTAGTACAGTCCTTACAAAGAGCTGTTAAAAATGTTTATGATATTTTCTCTATGGTAATCCCATTCCTGCTTATAACACCACTTTGGAGTATTAATCACAAATAAATAATTCAAAAGGGGGAAAATTTGGATTTTATTGAAGTATTATTTGTAGTATAAAAAAATCAGAAATAGTATAAATGCTTTCAGATAAGCATTATGTATATAAATTTAATTAACCACAATTGCATCCACTGAGTTTTATAATTATGAAGACTGGAGAGAGAGAAATGTATATGCTATAAATTAAGCCCTGGCCAGTGTGGCTCAGTGGTCAGAGTGTGGCCTGCAGGCTGAAGGGTCCCAGGTTCGATTCCAGCCAGGGGCATGTACCTGGGTTGCAGGTTCATCTCCGGCCCTGGTCAGGGCATGTTTGGGATGCAGCCAATCGATGTGTCTCTCTCACACTGATGTTTCTCTCTCTCTCTGAAAAGCAATGGAAAAAATATCCTCAGGTGAGGTTAAAAAAGCAGTATTTAAAAAGTGGCTGTGATGAAGTCTGAAATATACATGTCAACAAGGAATAAAGGTGAACGTGGCAAAATAAAACCTATTGATATGTTCCCGTAGGGGATCAGTCGCTTTTCGTCTAACATTTCCTCTGTCCGTTTGTAGTAGGAGTGGGCATGGAGGCCCTGGCTCCGTGCACTCACTGTGGGCACTGTGCCTGTGTCCCGTTTCCTTGCAGTGGGCTCCAGCAGCTCTGGAGGCTCCCTGTGCTCCGCAAGTGGCCGAGTGTGTGTGGGCTCCCCGCCTGGGCCTTGCTGGGGGTCTCCTCCGGGAACAGAGGCGGCTCCTAGCCTGAGATACATGCCTTATGGTGCTTCACCCCCCAGCCTGGAGGGGCTCGTCACCTTTGAAGTCCCTGAACTGCCAGAGGAGACACTGATGGAGGTAGAGATCATTGTGATGTTGATCTGTAGGAGAATGTTCTAGTGATGACACAAGAACAAAAGACTCTCAGAAGTTCTGAAGTTCTTTTCTTCTCTTTAACTGACCTTTTCTATTTGAAAAACATTGCTGACATATTTTTAGAATAATGTTGACCATGACACTCATTCATAGTAAGCTTTGGTTGATAGGAAGTTACACATAGATTTTGTATTCTTAATTTTTTAATCTGAAGTTTATTTACTATTTATGTGACTTCCAAAGTATAATCTTTCTCCTAAAGCCATAACTTTTTTATTCTCAAAGCTTCTTTTTCCTCATAAGATAAAAATAATACAGTTAAACTCAGGTTTTAAAATAAAAAGCATGATGCTAGATTTGTCAGTAACACTGGAAAATAAATCTGCCAGGCAGGCTGGATGCTCACTTACATTTGTAGCCCTGTACCTTCCCTCCTGGACCCAGCTCTACGGGGAAAGACACATCATCACCTGAAGATTGCTGAGCGCCAGTCCAGAACAAGAGAAGTTAATTTTGATTCCAAAGATGACCTCCTGACCCGACTCTGGGACAGCATCCAGCAGCTGCACCGGGTCCTTGGTCCCTGAGTACAATGCCAACTTGGTCTGCATTTCAAACTAAAACAAGTCGTTCTCTGGACCAACTAAAGAATAAATTTTCTCTCTGTGCTGGTCCTTTTAACATTTCTATTTTGTGTGAATGAGAATTAAATATTTCACATAAAAGTTTCACTGCATAAGAACTTTAGTAGTGATTTTGAAAGTTTGTAATACAATCTGAGACTGGAAAAGCAACCTTCAGAGTTTTTTCAGTCTCCATCAGATTTGACATAAATTATGTCCGGATGCGTGTGGAGGGTCACTGGCGAAGCCAGTGTGTGGGAACACGTGGCCCAGTGCTCTGTCACAGGGCCGACCGTTGGGAGCTGATGGGATAAGTCTCTCTAGGAAAACGGTTCTCGTCATTTTTCAACCATAAAAGGAGAGTGAGAAGCTTAATCTTACGTGAGATTTCAAAATATATTTATAGCTAAAAATAAATCTCAAAACATTAATTTTGGAATACCTATTTTCAGTGTATGCTCAGCTTTGGTGTTAGGAATCGTGTTAACTGAAAAGCCACCAGAAACTAAAATAAAGCATTTCTGAAATTGTAAGTCAGTAGAATTCACTAAACCATCAAGAAGTATGGTTTATTGGGCTGAAGATCCTTGTAATCTTGGTATATGTTTTATCATGATTTTGTCGCATGTATAGCAATTTAATCATTCAGCATTTCATTTTTTTTCTGGTAAAAGCACAGTGGCCTCATATCTTTGAGGTTCAGTTTTGTGAGTGCTCTCATATATTACACACAAACGTGCTCGCATCCACATTTGGTTTTATTTGTGTTTATTTTCTCACTAGTTTCCTGGAATTTAAAATTTTTCATCTCCTTTGATCACTCTAATATAAGTATAGAACAATGTTAGCAGTGCCGTGGTGTATACACAGTTGAGTACACACCTCTTCTTTACCTAAAAGTTTCTAAGACAAACTGGCTTTGCTGCAGCGAGAACACACAGACACCTTACGCCACCTGAATGTGATGCTGCTGTTCACTGAGTGTGTGCTGGACCTGACAGCAGTGAGGGGGGGCAGCCCAGAGCTGTGCACATCCGCCGTCTCCTTGTACCAGATCCAGGAAAGTGTGGTTGTGGACCAGATCAGCCAGCTGAGCAAAGACTGGGGGTAGGTGCCCTTTGCCATTTATTTCCAGGTTCTGTATGCTTTCTGTAAAGTTGCATCTGCGATGGGAGGCCTGGTCATCCACTGAAGAACCTATCTTGTTATTAAAGGTGACAAGGAAGTCCCTAAGTTATGTCTTCGTGCTAGATTTACTGCATTAGCTGAGACTTGGAGGTTTACCCTGCAAATTATACTGTTGAGGGTATTTGATAGAGGTCATACTGATTTCTGAGTGTATTGTACTCAAAGTACACACACCTTTTTCCATGCCAAAACATCTCCCATCAGGAGTTACCTGTGCATTAAAAATACCAAGGCATGTGCTGTTCCCTAGAAGGGCTGCTTTAGTGGTGAAGTGATGTGGAGAGAGCCGTGTCCACGTTTGGCTCACGGGGTAATGCTCTGCTTGCTGTCTTCCGGCACAGGCGGGTGGAGCAGCTGGTGCTGTACATGAAGGTGGCGCAGCTGCTGGCGGCCTCGCTGCACCTTGCTCAAGCCCAGGTCAAGTCCGGGAAGCTGAGCCCATCCACGGCGGTGAAGCAAGGTATGGGTGCAGTGCTGGAGCTGCCCTGCCCTCACTCTAAGGAAGCTCCTGATGACAAACCCGTTACACATTTTTAAAGGGAAAGGATGCCGGCTTTCCTGTTTTCTTGTTTTTGCCAATGAGAAGTGCTTTATCCAATCTTCTAAACGGAAAGAGAGCATCTGAAAGAATCTGATTTCCAGTCATTTAAAATATATATAGTGTTACCTCGGTTTTCAAACGTCTCCGTTGACGAACGTTTCGGTTTACGAACGCCGGTAACCAGGAAGTAAATGCTTGTATTTTCAAACACGCCACATGGCTTCCGCTGAGTGCAAGATCCTGAGCCCTAGCTGTCAGCTGTTGCTCCCTCGGGTTTCGAGTGTTTCAGAACTCCAGCCGTCTTCCGGAACGGATTACATTCAAAAACCGAGGTACCACTGTATATATCTTTATTGATTTCAGAGAGAGGAAGGGAGAGAGAGAGACAGAAACATCAATGATGAGAGAGAGTCATTGATCAGCCACCTCCTGCACAACCCCCGGCTGGGGATCTAGCCCGCAACCCGAGTATGTGCCTTGACCAGGAATCGAACTTTGATCTCTTAGATCATAAGTCAATTCTCAACTGCTGAGCCATGCTGGCTGGGCTCCAGTCACTTTTTTTTTTAATGATCCTTTAGTGTCACTTTCCTTAAATCAGCAGGAAAGGTGCATGTGACTTTATTTCTGGAGGAAAATTAAAATTAATTCTCTTCTTTTCAGTTGTCAAAAATCTGAATGAACGATATAAATTCTGCATCACCATGTGCAAGAAACTTACAGAAAAGCTGACTCGTTTCTTCTCTGACAAACAGAGATTTATTGATGAAATCAACAGTGTAACTGCGGAGAAACTCATCTATAATTGTGCTGTAGAAATGGTAACGCTTTCTAAGGTTTACTGTTGTATGATATCACTTGAAGAGTGTCTTTTCAATTGAATGCCTATTGGACATTCTCTGGCCCTTTAAAAAGAGCTTATGCTCCCCCAAGTATTGTGACCACCTCTTACCAACCTTGGACTTAATGTTGAAGTAACACAGTAAGTAGCATTGGTTCCCACATTTGGTAAAGTTCTGCTATACTTCTTAAAAATTACTAACATGAGGCATGGTCTCATCATTTCATAGTTTGCATCTAAAAGCTCAGCTGGATCTGTTTCTACAATATTAGAAATTGTGGCTTGATAAACATTAGGAAAAATACTGCCCTGTTAATCCACAAGAATTTATGTACTCAGGTTCCTTAGGTATAGACGCAGTAAAATCTGCTTTCACATTGTCTGTTATCCTATTGGAAAGCGTTCGTTTTCTGTCTCATGGGGAAAAAATTGCTCTAAAGTGTATGTGAAACTAGGAACTGTTAAAGAATAGTGGTAAAAAAATTAACTATTGACCAGTCTTATTTTTACCACATCAACATAACAGACCTCCTTTCTCCCCCAGTGTGTTTCCTTTGCTCTGGACTGTTACAGCACAGCCTTGGACTTAACTTGGAAAGCCATTATAATAAAAAGTCATGGAAATAGCTTTGGACTGTTGACATGAATAATATGCATTGTATCACTCTATGCCAAATTAAGACATCACACATCGTTGTTTATAGACGTTGTGCCAGGAGAAATGTCCGCCCCAAAGGAATATGGTGTCTCTCCTCTGACAGTACGAGCCATGTGACTTCAACGGGCCCTCCCTTTGCCCTGGCTGCTTAGCAAGCTTAGGGATGTTACCACTTCTGTTTAGTTATTTCTTCCTTTTCCTGGCTCTGATTTTCTATACACATTTTATTTATCTTACTGTATGTGGCTTTAAATTATTTTTTGACGGAAACAGAACATATTGACAAGTATATCAGGGTGCTGGATTAATGACGATCCAGGCATTTAATTATTAAAGAGAAAATCAGAATGCTGTTGGGAAAGCTCAAATACTCATAGCCCTGTGCGTAACGCTACTGTCCCCTCATGTTGGAGAGCCCCATGCATCTGTCCATCCCCTCCCTAAATTCTTGGGCAAGTGACCTGGCCCAAGCGTCACTTGATGGTGATTCCTTGACCTCCACTTCCTCCCATCGTCGGGTGGGATGCACTTCGTGTGTGTCCTGTGACATCTGGGGCTTCCTCCCAGAACACACGTGTCCCTGGGAGTCTGAATGGTAGGTCACGCAAGCCCCTCCCCCAGACTCTGAGCTCCTGTCCTTGTGTGCCCAGTGCCTGGCACTTAGTAGGTGCTCAGTGAATATCTCTGAAGGAGTGTGGTTGACTATACCAGACAGTTGTTTAAAAGAAGAAGCTGAAAATGACTTTTAACATTATTTAATTTTATTATAACAAACTCTACCTTAATGAAATGCCAGGTTACCCTAGTGTGAAAGTGTATGTATAAAATAAACTTTTTGTTGACGTCATAGGAGAGCCATTTAGAAATATAAATTCCAGGAGTCATGAATGTCGGAGAACAAGAAGGTTGTGTTTGAATGCAAAAGAACTTGTTTGGAGGCTCCTTTACATTGGTAGATTGTATCATTTGATGAAAATGTATTAATTTTAGATAGATCCACTTAAAGCTACATTGCCTGATGGATTTGTATTTTCTTGGAAAAGCTGAGACTCCTCATTTTGTTGACTGTGCCAGGTTCAGGCTGCGGCCCTGGATGAGATGTTCCAGCCCACGGAAGACATTGTTTATCGCTATCATAAGGCAGCCCTCCTCCTGGAAGGCCTGGCCAAGATCCTCCAGGACCCTGCTGACGTGGAAAGTGTGCATAAGTGTAAGTTGACTTAGAAGCTGTGTCTCCCATAGGCATAGTGGGAAGAGCTGAGAAAGTTTGGAGTCATGCTGCCTGGGTTTGGGTGCTGGTTTTCCAGTTGTGGGCAAGTCCCTTTCCCCCTCTGTGGCCTCAGTTTCTTCTGAAAGAAGGGATGGTGCCTGGTGTGCAGAGTTGCGAAGCTCAGGTGATGCTTGTAAAGTGCTGAGGGCCATTGTCATTACCCTTCCGTGTCTACTCCGCATTACTGTGTTGGTGGGCATGTGTCTGTGTTTGCAGAGAACTTTGTTTTTATTATTAAATAATAACGCAATTATTTTAGCCTTATGGGCTTGGTGACTGAGGATCCTTGAAGACCCTGTGTACCGCGTGTGTGGTATAGATGACAGACGGAGGTTGGTAGGATGCCGGGATGCTACATGTGTCACTTGTCAGATCCAGCACAGTGATCTGGTTTTCCAGGCGGAGGTGGTGGCCCTTGGAGTATATGTGGAATTACCACATTTTCAAGAGCTACAAGGGATGGCAAGTCTAAAGTTACTGGCAGTTGTGAGCAAGCTAGCTGTTAAAATCTAAATGTTCATCTAACATGCTAATCTAAGTTTTGCCAATGTGCCGTGCTGAACACAGGTTGTAGCTAAGCAGTTGCCAGGGACAAAGAAGAAAAAGTGTTTAAAACTTAGCTTTGGGCTGGCACAGAGCAGAGATGATGATGTGGGTCGAGTTAGTGATTTTTATTAGATTTTCTTTCCTTGGTTTTGAGAATGTAAATGGTCTTTATTGTGCTTTACTTTCTTTTGTTTCTAGATAAGTGTAGCGTGGAGAGAAGACTGGCAGCTCTCTGCTGCGGGGCCCCGGTGACGTGAGCAGCCGCAGGCCCCCAGGGCACGTGCGGGGTGTGCGGGTGCATCTGGCGTGCGGCCTGGGCTCCGTGGGCCCATCCCCAAGAAACTGCAGGTTCTTGCCTGGTGACTACCAAAGAACAAGCAGTGATTTCAAAACAAAAACAATCCAAAAACTACATATTGTAGGAAATCTGCCTTATTGGAGAAGTCACCCCTTCCTTTCCCTTTGTAGAAGCAGAAGCAAGAGTGTCGCACTTGGTAAATAAATGTACCTTAGCCCTAGAGTCACCAGCACATTTATTCTTACAGATAATTAAGGGTGAGGCAGTGCAGAGCAGTGTGTGGAATTCCACGTGTTTACTGAGGTGTAAAAGTAGAAAAATTCCACGGCCCATCCAGGCAGTTTGGTACTTGGGGTGAGTTTGTCTAAATCTGAGCATGACCCTTAAATAGCTCAGGAGGAACTAGCGTGAGAAGACACAAAGGTGGCTCTTAGAAGGCATTGTGAAATCTTCAGCGTGATCTCATATGGACACTCGTTAATCTTCCAAAATCTTTCATATATTGCACTAATTTATTAAAACAACTCTGTATTGGATTTTGCAACTTAAAACTAACTGAGGCACAGTGGACTATTTAAGAAATGGTTAATTGTATACACACACCCTTCCCAGAACCACACGGATCTCTGGTGACTTTGCCGAGCTGAGAGCTTAGCCCACCTACTCCTTGTGTTTTTCAACTTCTTCACCTGCACCCTTGGGTTTTCTCCGTGATGTTTTGAGGTGCGGCCGTTTGCACAGGTTGCATACCTCACTGTGCATGCGGATGCGCACCGATGCCTGGGCTGCTCGCTTACTAACGGCTGCTTTATTGGGCAGTATTAGGAAAAATGTCATTTGGGACACCCTCAAGAATTCTAAAAGGGCCAACAGCATTGGTGACCCGAGGGCTTGTTAATGGTGTGGACTTCGTACATGAAATTAGTGACAAGTGAGGTGTGTTTCCTCTGAGGACAAGGGCAGCTGTCTCCAGCCTAACACACATTTTCCACATTAATCCTGACAGTTCGCCACATAGCTAGTCATGGGGACTGGGGGCAGTTAACACCCCTCCAGAAATGGTTCCTACGTTGTGTATTATTTGGTTTCTTTTATTTACCTGCTTGAATACTTGAATAAACCATTCTCCAGTTTTAATTCTTTTATTTTAATCCTTTTAGACAATAAATCTGAACTCTTGACAAATTGCACAGGTCTTTGGCATTAATCTAATTTTAGTGTGCTGATAAAACAGACATGGCTTTCCTTTACTTTGACGAAGTAATGTAATTTTACCTTATTTATCTGATCAAAATCTAGCAGTTAATTTGAACATTTATTTATATGATGTTTGTATTCTTAGGTCTTTAATACAGTGTTTCTACCTCTCATTTGTAACTGCATGCATTATTCTTATAACTAGGTAAATTCTCCAAGTTGTTTCATAATAAACAGCCTTTTTATTATTGCCTGTACAGATGTAAATTAAGGTAAAATAAACCTTACAAATTCTTTCCAGGGTAAAGCTGGGTCCATGCTGCGTGGCTTTTCGAGGCAGGTCCTTTCTCCGTGAGCTTGGAGGCTTAGCCACGAATACACTTTGCCCGCCCAGGAGTTCAGACCCGGTAGCTGTCCGGGGCTGCCAGGAGCACAGACTGTGCAGCGAGGGTCGCTGCCCTCTGCAGGGGCTCTGGGCGCCCGCGCGGGTGATGCTCCCCTTGTGTAAATGTGAAGCGTGCGGGGTGGTGGTTCTCAGTTATTGCTGTGCTGTTTCTGTTGACCCTCCAAGGGGTGGGCTCATGCTGGTCCCATCTCCCCTTCAATTATTTTTTAAACTCAGGATGAAACAGGTTCACGGGGAACGAGTGGCTGGAGTCTGGTCACTAGGAAGGGACTGCACCGCCTCTGTAGCCTCCCAGTTCTCTGTCCTCTTGTGTGACCAGGGCTTGTGGTAGGTGGTGTGTGTGAAACCGAAGTCTGAGCAGCAGGGAGGAGCATGCTGTAAGTCCATGAATAAAGTTCTGATTGTACTTCCATTATCAAGGCGAATTGTTTGAGATTTTGCCTTGATTATAGCAATAATAAACAAGTACTTTGTTCCCGTGAGTTTTTTTTAATTTCATATTATCTGTTTCATAGCATAGAAATTGACCAGTTCATACATTCATGGGTTCATGTGCATATTCAAGCCACAGCCTGGGAAGTTATTGATCACACAAGGGTAAATCAATGAATTGCTATTGGCTCTTCCTGCTGTGAGTTTGCTTTAATCGCACCCTGTGCTAGACCTGCTGGGCCCCTTAGTCACACGCTCCCCTCTCCCCACCAGGAGGGAGAGCAGAGCAGCCAGTGTTGGTCCCCACTGGAGTCGGGAGAGGAGCCAGGAGAGGGGTTTACTGTTCGGGGTGGGTAGCCTCAGCCTCCACCGGGTAGGAAGGAGGATGCCGAGTAGCACGTAGTGGACAAGAGGCCAAGACTCAGCGTCTAAAGAATTCTTGAGGTGGTGGAGTGGCCCGCGCCCAGGCCTTGGAGGTAAGTTCCCACGTCAGTGTGCTTCCTCCTCGAGGGCTTCTGTAGGAATCTCAAACTCTGCCTGGGTAAAGCGGGCGGTGCCTTCTCAGAGGACTGCCTGCTGGGCACTTCATAGGCAGCAGCTGCTGCTCAGAGCTGGAGGCGGCTCCGCTGGTCGGTGCATCTTCGGAGTCTCTGCCCACTGCTGCTTAGCCGGACGACTCACATCCTGCCCTGAAACCGAGTCCACCCGAGACTCTTCATTGGTCGGTAAAACTGTGAAAGCGCTTTCTTTGGGAGAGGGGCCAGAATGGTATTCTCCTCACCCGCGTCTGAGAACACTGCATCAGAGGCTCCCCACCCAGGAAAGCGCTGCGCTAGAGCCTGACAGTCGTTCCCTGGGATGTCCGCTGTTGTGAAAGGCCACGCCAAGCAGTGCAGACTCGGTGTGAGTTCAGGGAGCTCACTCCGCCAGGCCGGCGGGTGCAGAGCCAGCTGCGGGCAGCGCACGGTGGGCAGAGGCTGTGCCCTGAGGACCAGGCGCACGCCCGGTACGAGGCTCTGCATTCTGCAGGCGGAACTCACTGTATGTGTGTTTTCACAGGGGGCCTCTCGGCCCAGTTTTTAATGTTGCACATCTCTAAGGGGCCTCCTGAGTGTGGATCTGAGATGAGGCTGATGTGACTAGACTCGGGCTTCCGGTCACCCTTGGCACGGGGGCTCCTCTGAAGTTTGCACTGAGGGAGTTGCAAGGCACACAAGGATTGTATTAGGAGGCACAGTATTGCTTTGATTTTCTTGTGCAGCTGCCCCGTGTCCTCCGAAGCCATCCTGTCCTTTAAGAGTTTGTTTACATCACTAGGGAAGGCCAACTGAGCACTAGCTTGCTGAAAACTTCCCCAGCCCTGGCCAGTGTGCTCAGTGGTTAGCGCGTCAGCCTGGGGACTGAAGGGTCCTGGGTTCTCTGGCGAAGGGCACGCACCTCGGTCGCAGCTGGATCCCTGCTGGTGAGGAGGCACATGGGAGGCAGCCAGTCGATGTGTCTCTCACTTCAGTGTTTCCCTCTCTCCCCTTCCACCCTGAAAAGCAATGGAAAAGTATCCTTGGGTGGGGGTTAAAAAAAAACAGTTCTCCAGTCCTGGGGCACGTGGTCCTGCAGGTGTCAGACCACCGCTGTCCCTTGCACAGCGGTGTGTCCGTGGGCACCTTCCTAACCCCTGTCAGACGGGAAAGGGACGGCTCCTAGCTGGTGGGACTGAAGCAGGTTAGGAAGTGGGAAGTGCCCTGAACAGCCCAGCGCGGGCAGGCCTCAGGAGCCCCCCTGCTCCTTGCTGCTTTGTCTCAGAGGGGTGGGGACCGATTTGTCTTGCGTGGGGGGAAAGGCCTGGATTCAGGGCTCACTGGAACCACCCTTGCTCGAGTTAGACAATTTCTGAAAGGACTCAGCTGCTTGCCCTGGCCGGGTGGCTCGTTTGGAACACTGTCCCGTGCACCCAAAGGTTGCAGGTTCACCCAGTCAGGGCACAGACCTAGATTGAGGGTTTGATCCCCCTTTGGGGTGCGTACTGGAGGTGACTGGTCTGTGTTTCTGTCTCACATCAACATTTCTCGCTTGCTCGTGCGCTCTCTCCCTCTTCCCCCCCCCCCC